GGGAGAGGGAGAGAGAGAGAGAAACATCGATGAGAGAGAACATGGATTGGTCGCCTCCTGCCTGCCCCCCACTAGGGATTTGGCCCACAACCTGAGCATGTGCTCTGACCAGGAATCAAACTGGTGACTTCTTGGTGCATTGGTCGACGCTCAACCATTGAGCCACAATGGCCTGGCAAAACATTTTTAAAATTCAGATTTGATATACGTCCCTCTCATTTTATAGCTGAGGAAACAGCCATATTGGGGGTAATGGACCTGTCTTACCTAACGTGATCACACAGCAACTTCTTGATAGACTACAGTGGCACTTTACTTTTAAGAGGCAGAGGATGGATGAACAAAACAACTAGGTCACCAGCTTTGTAGGCCTTTCTTTCCCAAGATGAGCTAATTCTGGGGAATGATTTTCCTTCTAATCAGCCTTAAGGGCTCTTTGTTACATCAAAGGTCCTCCAGGGCAGTGCCTGGTCTTAGGAGCCCAACTAACAATGTTCACATTTAATGTTATTTAACAATGTTCATTGAACATTATCTAACCTGAAAAAGGAAGTGATTTGATTTGCCTAGGTTCCCAAAGCCATGTAAGGAGGTTGACAGATGATATGAGCTCAGGAAAAGAAAATCAAGCAGGTAGCAATGTGGCTTGTGCTTTGTTGTTGTTGTTATTCTTTTGATTTAAGTATGTTTTTATTTTTAGAGAGAGAAGAAAGGAGAGTGAGAGAGAGAGAGAGATGCAAACATTAATGCGAGACAAACATTGATTGGCTGATTCCTGCATGCCCCTCACTGGGGACTGAGCCCGAAACCCAGTCATGTGCCCTGACCCGGAATCCAATGGGTGACCTCTTGGTGCATGGGACAACGCTCAGCCACTGAGCCACACCAGCTGCAGGCTTTTTTTCTTATAAAAAACTTTTTAATTGATTTTTTAAGAGGGAGAGAGGGAGAGAAACATCGATGTGAGAGAGAAATGTCAATCTGCTGCCTCCTGCATGCTCCCTACTGGGGATCGATGTGCCCTGACCTGGAATCTAACCAGGACCTCTCAGTCCATGGGACGATGCTCAATCCACTGAGCCATACTGGCCAGGCTTTCTTTTTCTTAAAGAAGACCCTTTAATATTTCATATAATATTGGTTTGGTGGTGATGAACTTGTTTAGCCTTTTTTTTTTGGTCTGGGAAGCTCTTTATCTGTCCTTCAATTCTATATGATAGCTTTGCTGGGTAAAGTAATCTTGGTTGTAGATCCTTGCTTTTCATCACTTTGAATATTTCTTGGCACTCCCTTCTGGCCTACAAAATTTCTGTTGAGAAATCAGCTGACATTCTTGTGAGAGCTCCCCTGTAGGAAACTAACTGCTTTTCTTTTGTTGCTTTGTTTTTAACCTTTTGCATTCTAATTATGATGGTTTTGGTGCAGACCTCTTTAGGTTCATCTTGGTTGGGATTCTGTACTTTCTGGGGAATTTTTCCTTCGTAATTTTTTTACATAGGCTTTCAATTTCTCTCTTCTCTTTCTGGCATCTTTGTGAAGCGAATGTTGGTATGCTTGAAGTTGTCCCAGAGGCTCCTTACACTATCTTAATTTTTTTTGGATTCTTTTTTCTTTTTGAGTTCTGCTTGAGTGTTTTCTGCTTACTTATCTTCCAAATCTCTGATTTGATCCTCTGCTTCATTTGCTTCAGTGTTGATTCCCTGTAATGTATTCTTCATTTAAGTTAATGCATTCTTTGTTTCTGACTGGTTCTTTTTTATATTTCCACTTTTATGTTTCCTATCTCTTTGTTGACATTCTCACTAGTTCATCTACTCTTCCCCTAAGTTCATTGAGCATCCTTATAACCAGTGTTTTGAACTCTGCATCTAGTAGATTGCTTGTCTCCACTTTGTTTAGTTCTTTTTCTGGAGTTTTGTTCTTTTCTTTCATTTGGACATGTTTCTTTGTCTCCTCATTTTGGCAGCCTCCCTGGGTTTGCTTCTGTATATTAGATAGAGCTGCTATGTCTCTAAGGCTTGGTAGAGTGGCCTAATGTACTAGGTGTTCTTTAGGGTCCAGTGGCACAGCCTCCCCCATCACTCGAGCTGGGCAATCAAGGTATACCCCCTCCCCCTTCGTGTGGGTTGTGTATACCCTCCTCTTGTAGTTGAACCTAGATTATCTTTGGCACGTAAATGGGAGGAGTTTGCTGGCTGTGACCACTGACTTCTGACCATCACAGAGGATGAGCTGTGCAGGGCTCACCTTACAGAGCAAAACTTCAGTGGGACTCTGGTGCCTGCTAAGTTTGCCCATTGGGTGTGTTACTTGTGGAGGTGGTTGGATGGTTGTGCTTCTACATGGTCTGCAGCTGTCCACTGGATGGGCCTCCTGGGAGGTGCAGGCCAAGGTAAGCCACTGCATGTGTTCAGCTGGGGGCCTCTTGGCATTGGCTACAAAGTGATCTACAGATACCTGCGTCTTTTGCTAGGCTTAGAAGTGCCCAGGCACCCTGGCCAGTTTGGCTCAGCAGTTAGAGAGTCCGCCTGCGGTCCCGAGAGACCCGGGTTCGGTTCCCGCTAAGGGCACGTACCTTGGTTGCAGTTTGTCCCCGGCCCTGGTTGGTCGTGCGGGTGGCAGCCACTCGATGTGTCCCTTTCACATCGATGTTTCCCTCTCTCTCTCTCTCTCTTCCTCTCCCTCCGTCTGTACAGAAAATGGAAAAATGCCCTCGGATGAGGATAAAAAAAAAAAAAAATTACGAGAAGTGCCCAGGCGCCCTGGCTGGTTTGGCTTAGTGGTTAGAGCGTCGGCCCATGGACCAGAGAGTCCCAGGTTCGGTTCCCATTAAGGACACGTACCTTGGTTGCAGTTTGTCCCTGGCCCCGGTTGGGGTTGTGTGGGTGGCAACCAGTCGATGTGTCACGTCAATGTTTCTCTCTCTCTCTCTTCCTCCCTTTCTCCCTGCTCCTCTATCTGAAGATAAATGCAAAAATATCCTAGGGTGAGGATTAAAAAAAAAAGAAGTGCCCAGGCAAAGCCAAGCTGTGAACCAAGGCAGCTGCTGCTAGTGCTGTGCCTAGAGCCACTTAGCAAAAAGTACAGAAAAGGGCTTGCTGAGGCCAGATGATTGTTTGAAAGATTTTAGGAAAATCTGAAGCATAAGCCATGACAGGCAATTTGCATAGAAAAGCCACTGGAAACAGCTTTGGTGGACCTGAAAGTTGGGTGGCCGTGGCCTCAGAGAATCACCAGGTTTGGGCAAATAGTGTGAGTTAGGTTGATGGAGTCTCAGGTGTCACCCGCTGTGGGCTCTGCAGGGGGAGGGCTCATCAAAAGAACAATGACCTCTGCTGCACCTTTCTCTTGGAGAAAGCTGCCCACCAGCTCTTACTCTGATGCTGGACAATTCAGTTCTTCCCCATGTCTCTGGTGCCTTTCAAGCTGCTGACGCTCAGAGGAAATGAGTATGAGTGAATCTGTGCGGGCCCTTTAAAAGGAACTGCCTGGGACTCTAGAAGTACTTCGTCTTGCTCAGCCTCAGTACCCACTGGTTTTTACAGCTAGAAGTTATGTGGTCTTCTCTTCCTGGAATGGGAGGACTGGGATCCCTTGCTCCTCAGGGGAGACCTCTGCAGCCGAGATATCCCTCCCAATTTTTATTTACCATATGTAGGTGTGGGGACCCCCCCCCCCCGCCATTCTGTATCTCTGCCCCTCTTACTAGTCTTAATGTGGCTTCTTCTTTAATTCCCTAGTTGTAGGACTTCCATTCAGCAAGATTTCAGGTGGTTCTGAATGATTGTTGTTCTGTAGTTCAGTTGTAATTTTGATGTTGTGGAGGAGGTGAGTACCGTGTTTCTGTATGCTGCCATCTTAACTGGACATCTCATGTTATAATAATACTTATAATAATTTATAATTTATATTAATAAATTGGATGTCTTTTCTAAGATTTTATTTTTTAACTTTTTTGATAAATTACCCTGAGATTTGGTTACAGAGAAGTGGTGAAAAGAAATATTTGGTAACAGAAACTAGAATAAAAGTATAAAGGCAATTTCTAATTTATTGTTGTTTTCCAAGCTCATTTTTTGAGAACTTATGGTACGTTGCCAATGGAAGTATGTTATAATATATAAAGTTCTCATGCTAGCTCATGATCATATAATCATCCTATGATACATATTAAGTACATTACTTAGAATATTAATTCAGCTATGCCTCTTAAATACATTTCTTTTTTTCGTTGTTGTTGTTCAGATAGAGTGGGAGGGAGAGAGAGGAAGAGAGAGAAACATCGATGTGAAAGGGACACATCGAGTGGTTGCCACCTGCACAGCCCAACCAGGGCCGGGGACAAACTGCAACCAAGGTACATGCCCTTAGTGGGAACTGAACCCGGGTCTCTCTGGACCGCAGGCTGACGCTCTAACCGCTGAGCCAAACCGGCCAGGGCAGTAAACACATTTCAATTTCCAAATTGAGAATATTTTGACTTAGCAGAGGGAGTGGCTCTGGATTTCTTCATTTGGTGGATTTTGACTGGATGCGGATGCAGATCCTCAGCAGCAACACCATAATTCTCCAAGTGTTCAGAACTGGGAAGACTGGTGGGGTGTGCAACAGTTGCCTCCTAGTGCACTGTGTATAGGCTTTGCATTCGTTGGGGAGTGCCTTTGCTATTTAAAGTTGTGATCTTTTCACTCATGCCTCTCTTTGGTTTCATAAAAATGAATCCAAATAGTATTTTCCATGAAGCTGAAGTTTAAGATAGAAAAGCTTTTTAGAAGAGAAAGAATGGTGTAGATTCTGAAAGAAGTATGTGTCCATGAGGCACGATAGTATTGTGAAATGAATTTTAATATTTTTGTGGGGTAATGCATATTTTTAGTGATTGGATATTTTAAGAGAAGTACTCTTAATAACCCCCTTAAGACATTTTGAGTAATAAGATAAAAATAGACATTTAAAAAATCACTTTTTTGTTGTTGTTGGGTGGGGGAATTACTTGTAAGGTCTACACAAGTCCTTCTGTGTACTCTCTGGATCGAGTAGTTGCTGGATTTCGAACACGAAGTCAGATGCTGCTGGGTCACATAGAAGAACAAGATGAAGTCCTCCACTGCCAATTTTCTGATAACAGTGATGAAGAATCAGAAGGCCAAGAGAAATCTGAAATTGGGTATGTTAAATATAAACTGATTTAATAAACATATTATAATTTTATGATGCAATAAATATATACAGATGGAGGTTTTTTCCATTAAAGCGTATCTTTTCCATTTAAATAACAGTAGGTACTTTTTGCTAAATGTGATGTCAACTAATGTATGAAACCAGTGTTTGAACACAGTCATCAGTCTTACAATTGAAAAATAATTTTGCTTTCAGAGCTTTTATAGTTGTTGGATTTTAATTTTCAGAGAGAATGTTTTTGGATTTCCTATTTCTGCTGCCACAGAGGCAACAAACATAATTAGTTTCCCACTAGGCCCAACATAGGTGGGAATATTAGTAAAATTCTGTTTATTTTATATAATTAATTCTTTTAATATTACTGTCACTTTTTCTTTCTTTCTTTCTTTTTCTTTTTTTTTTTTTTTTGGTGAAACGATTGTATTCAAACTTTTCACTTCCATTTGCAGTATCATCATTTTTTAGATCATGAATTTACTATTTCAGCCATTTAACAGAAATCTTCAGAGCCCATTTTCACTTTTGTCCAAATCTTGATAACTGCTATTTATAGTGAGTGTGGCTCAAGGGCAGGGATATAATTAGCATTTCTGGGAAGTGCAAATTGAGCAGAATGCAATATAAAATGCAAGGATATAAGCAGTGAGCATAGTAAGTTTGGGTTTAAAATAAAGTACAAATTGTACCATGTAAATAAGAATGTCTTCTGTGTTCGTTCCTTTTTGGGGGGAATACGATGAAGAAATGAGTTAAATTCTTTAGAAGACTTAACGGTGTTTTATTTATTTATTTATTTATTTCCTCACGCGAGGACATTTTTCCATTTTTTGTTCAGATAGAGTGGGAGGGAGAGAGAGGACCAGAGAGAGAAACATCGATGTGAAAGGGACACATCGAGTGGCTGCCACCTGCACGACCAACCAGGGCCGGGGACAAACTGCAACCGAGGTACATGCCCTTAGCGGGAACCGAACCCGGGTCTCTCTGGACCTCAGGCCGACGCTCTAACCGCTGAGCCAAACTGGCCAGGCCATTTATTTATTTTTTTCAAGCTTCGACTTTCGACATTTTTTTTTTTTTTTTAATTTTTTTAATTTATTTTTTTGTTACAGATGTTTCTTCTTTTTTACCACATTGGCACCCCCCCTCCCACCCCACACCTGCCCCGTCCCCGGCTTTGTTGTCCATGTCTATTGGTTATGTATACATGCATATAAGTTCTGTGGTTTATCTCTTCCCACCCCCCCCACCCCCTCCTCTGACGGATGTCAGTCTGTGCCCTACTTCCATGTTTCTGAGTCTACCGTATTCCTCACTGCTATGTTCATTATATTCCGTATATAAGTGAGATCATGTGGTTCTTGTCTTTTTCTGTTTGGCTTATTTCACTTAGGATAATACTCTCCAGGTCTCTCCATGTCGTCTCAAAGGATAAGAGATCTTTCTTTCTTACAGCTGCATAGTACTCCATTGTGTATATGTACCACTGCCTTTTTATCCATTCTTCTACTGATGGACACTTGGGCTGTTTCCAGATTTTAGCTATTGTAAATAGTGCTGCTATGAACATGGGGGTTACTATTACTTTTGAAGGAAACTAATTTGAGGGCAGATTAGTAAACACTAACAGACAATTTACCTTTGATCCTGATCTTTTTCTTTTTTAGGCATCAAAGTCACTCATGGATTCAAAAGCCAGGCTCTGTTTGTTCTCTTGTTGAATTGAATGATATCCATGATCAAACACAAAAGTCAAGTTTAGAGAATGAAGGTACACAGACTATCTTAAGTAATTTACATCTAATATTTATAAGACACTTCTCTTTTTCTTTAGTCAATAATTTGAGAAACATCTAGGAATTCTCAATGATGGGAACTTGGTAGGAGTGTTTTTTCGGCTGGTAGAACTTTCTTTATGCTCTCTGTTCTACTTCTGATTTTCCATTCTTTTTACTCTTAATAAAATTTCTTTTCCACTGGTTGCAGTTTGTCTCCGGCCCCGGTTGGGGTCGTGTGGGTGGCAACCACTCGATGTTTCTCTCTCTCTTCCTCCCTCTCTCCCTCCCTCACTCCCTCCCGCTCTATCTGAAGGTAAATGTAAAAATGTCCTCAGGTGAGGATAAAAAAAAAAAAATTTTCCACCAATCAGTTTGCTTAGAGTTACAGGCTAAGTCTCTCAGAATGGGGATTTTACTTTCAAACCTAAGTTGGTATGCACTGTAGTCTTGACTACTTTAAAATGCATCTTCTGTAATTTACTAGGTGTGCTTGCTTTCTTGCTTCACTGGCACACGTGCCTACCATTAGTGATGTACCCTTGGCATTGGAGCCAAACTAATCTACGGGTGCTCATAATATTTGAATACACATTATTTGATGCATAACAGTGTAAAATATTTATGTTTCAGAAGTTATAGTAGGAGATGTAAACTCATTTATTTTGGCCTATGATTGGTGAAAACACAAAATATAAGAGGATACAGAATATAAATAACATGATAAATAAGTCCTACACTATGACAATAGCCTTTTTAAAGAGCCTATGCAAAATATCCTTGAGTAAGGATTTAAAAAAATAAATAAATAAAGAGCCTGTGCATGTAATATTTAACAAAAACTGACTTATATGTCACAAATAAACCTGAAATAAATAAAAAAAATATGTAAGTAATATGGGTAAATGATAGTCAAGTTGCCCTTCTTGAACTGTTTGTTACTGCTCTAAAGCCAGGTAAGAATCTTATGCCAGAATGTAAATCGTTGCACTAGCTCTTCACTGAGGAAGTATTACTGTGAAAAAAGAGATCAGCTGAGCCCTGGCCAGTTTGGCTCAGCGGGAGAGTGTTGGCCCTCGGGTTTGATTCTGGTCAAGGGCACGTACCTCGCTTGAGGTTTGTTCCCAGACCCTGGTCGGGGTCGTGGGGGAGGCAACCAGTCTGTGTGTCTCTCACGTCAAGGTTTCTCTCTCTCCCTTTTTCTCCCTCTCCCTTTCACTCTCTCTAAAGATAAATAGAAAAATATCCTCAGGTGAGGATTAAAAAAATAAATAAAATAAATAAATGAATTTAAAAAATCATCTCAACTAAACAGTGACATAATTGATTTCTGTTCTGGTATAAGATAATAACAAATGGTACTAGCCCACATTCTAGTAGTCTGGTATAGACTACATTCTTTGATTACCATAAGACTGGAAGTTAATAGGGCAAAAATTCAACCTTCTACCCACCTGGAGATTTTACACCTTTCTTCTTTCTTTTTTCTTTTTTTTTAATCCTCACCCGAGGATATTTTTTTCCATTGTTTTTTTTAGAGAAAATGGGAGGGAGAGAAGGAGGGGAAGAGAGAGAGAGAGACATCAGTGAGAGAGAGACACATCAATTGGTTATCTCCTGCACATACCCCAACTGGGGTCAGGGATGGAATTTGCAACCCAGGTACGTGCCCTTGACCAAAAATTGAACCCATGACTCTTCAGTTCGCAGGGTAGTGCTCTAATCACGGAGCAACACTGGCCAGGGCACACATTTCTTAAATAACTCAAGTTAAAAACTCAAATCATAGCCCAGCTGTATTGGCTCAGTGGCTGAGCGTCGACCCCATGCACCAAGAGGTTGCCGGTTCCATTCCAGGTCAGGGCACATGCCCAGGTTATGAGTCTGTTCTCCAGTGTGGGACATGCAGGAGGCGACCAATCAATGTTCTCTCTCACTGATGTTTCTCTCTCTCTCTCCCTCTCCCTTCCTCTAGTTCTAAAATTAATAAAGAAAAAAAAAATTGAAAAGGAAAAAAACCCTCAAATTATAGAATATCTAACAGCAATGGAAAACTGTGTCAGAACCTACGGGATGTGACTAAAGCATACACACACACACACACACACACACACACACACTCTTACTGTAAGGTAGAAAACTAAAGTCCCGATTTCTGTGTATTTTTTCCTTTCTTTCCTTCCCTCTCTCTGTCTCTTTCTCTGCTACCCCTAGACTGCTTCTGTGTTCACTTTTCTTTTTTAGCTCTACTTTTATTGAATATAAGCAGATAGTTCTATTTCTCGGTTCTGTTTCTTTTATTTTAAAGATTTTAAATAAATCTTTTATTTTAAAGATTTAAAGGTTGAATGTCTCCAGGAGAGTCAAGAGTTGAATTTGCAAAAATTAAGGAATTCAGAACTCATACTTACTGAAGCTAAACAAAAAATGAGAGAACTTACAATTAACATCAATATGAAGGAAGATCTAATTAAAGAGTTAATGAAAACAGGTAATAGTATCCTTTGAATCTTGCTTGTATAAGAAAGAAAAACTTCTAAAATTGTTTCTGATGTGTAACATTTACTTTCGTTTTTGATGCTCAGGACTATCCACTGTAGCTTGGCGTTTGGTATATCAAGGTGTGTTCTAGAGCCAATATGTGGAGGCTAGTTATTAAAAGTACTTTATTATATTGGGATTCATTAATAAATTGTTCTAACTAGTGTGAAGTCTGTGCTGTGTTGACTTCACAGCACTTATGCTTGTGGCACTTATGCTTTTTGCCACTTTTAAAGAAACATTATACTAGGCATTTGAGATGTTTTATTAACTCATTTTAATAATTACTTATTTTAAATTAACTTTTATTTTCTTGGGTAGTTTATTTTTAACAGTAATCATAAACTTTATATTTTAAATACGATTAATTTTTATTTCTCGAAAGATGTAAGGATTTATTCTTGAGAGCTGTTCTCTTGAGTGATCCATGCTTTTAGCTCTTCCCCTTAGTCTGAAATTTCTGCCAGGTTGGGTGTATGCTTCACATCCTGTCCTCGCCCTCAGCTACATTAGGCTTGCCTACTACTTTGAAATTCAGTTAAGAATAGAAGGAATAAGAGACACTAGCATTTCTTTCCCTCAACTCCAATGAAAAACAACTCTCTGGTCACATTTAGGGGAACTGAAGGAAATACTACCTTTTCTTCAAGCCCAAGGCTATAATCAACCCAGACTACATGAATTATGGTGCCAGCAAAGGGAAACCTGTCTTCCCACTTTCCACTCTTTCTTGCAAACCTTCTTTCTAGCTGATGGTCCTTCTTTCTTAACCACCTCTCCCTGGCTGCTGTCCCAAATTGTTTTCCTTCCTCATTCCTAGTGACGTATGTTCTGGGCATCTTCCCAGCTCCAGAATCCCACTGTCACAGGCAGGATTAGTGCCAGAAAAACTCTTTTAGGAATATCCAGGAACTGATTTAGGGTTTAAATAGCTTCTGTATCCCCAAGATTTTATTGCCTGTGGAAGTTGAGGATATTTACTCTTCTGGTTATCCAACCATGGGATATCTCACTAAACAAGCACACTTTTTAAATTTAGCCTGGGCTACCCATCTTGGTTGCCTTAATATAGAGGATACCTGAACCTACACAGAGAAGGTCCCCTTCTTTTTTTATCCTCACCTGAGGACATTCTTTCGTTTTTTGTTCAGACAGAGTGGGAGGGAGGGAAGGGGAAGAGAGAGAGAGAGAGAGACATCGGCCTGAAAGGACACATCGAGTGGTTGCCACTTGCACAACCCAACCAGGGCCGGGGACAAACTGCAACCGAGGCACATGCCCTTAGCGGGAATCGAACCCGGTCTCTCTGGACCGCAGGCCAACGCTCTAACCACTGAGCCAATCCGGCCAGGGTGAAGGTCCTCTTCTTACTGGTTAGAACCAAGGCAGTTTGGAGCTTTCCTAAGAACTCTGAGAAATGGTGACTAGTGAAAGGGTCATTGTGTACTTACTTTTCAGAGGTGCCTCAATGAAGATTTGTCCCGAATAGCAGCTACTTTAGCCAACACTAACAGTGACTAGACTGTATTTCATCAATTCTAATACACATTTTTCACATTTTAATATCTCTAAAATCAGATGTACCTTACAATCAGTGGCATCTTAGTATATTATCATGTCTGGTTAATTGGCACTATACCATTTTCCTTAGTTCATAAAATAATTGGTGTGTTGAACACATTATGGGGCTTTAGATTCATTTAAATATAGTAGTCATATCTATTTTAAAGTTAGTCAAATTATAGAGTTATAGAGCCAGTGCATTTAGTTCAATAATGCCTTTTTATTAAAAAATTAAGAGATTAACAGTATGAGTGTAACAGGCTGTCCCTGGCGATTATTTGTTCCATGACCTCTGGACTCTTATTTCTCACTGCTGCAAATTTGCTAGTCTTGTTCAGGGACAGTTGACTGTTCAGAACCAATCAAAACCAAGTTTTTAGGTTCAGTATCTGGGCTTAGAATGAAAAGAGATATAGAAGTATCTTATTCTATTTTTCTCTGTGTTCTAAATATTCATAAGAAAAGTATTTTAAAATTGATCTTTAACAAGTTCAGTGGAATGAAAAAGGAGGGGGCCAGCTCTAGATTCAAATATTCTCCTTTTTTAAATGTTTTTATTGCTTTTTTAGAGAGAGAGGAAAGGAGAGATAGAAACATTGATGTGAGAGAAACACATGGATCAGCTGCCTCCTGCACCTCCTCTCTCCCCTCTACTGGGGAATGAGCCCAAAACCCAGGCATGTGCCCGACCAGGAATCAAACCAAGCCTTCTTAGTCCAGGGGACGACACTCAATCCACTGAGTGACACTGGCCGGGTTGGATTAAAAGATTCTTAAGAGACAAAACAATCAGATGTATCATGGACCTTATTTAGGTTCTGATTAAAATAAAATAAACCAATTGTAAAAGACATTTTGAAACAATTGGGGAAGTCTGAATAGGGACTTGTGGCTATTAATATTGTTAGATGTGATAGTGACTTTTTGGTTATTTCCATATTTTGTATAGATGCTTATTGAAGTATGTATAGGTGAGCTATGACATCTGGGATTGCTTAACAATTTTTAAGCAAATTTAAACAAAAGAAAAACATAAATGAAGCAACTGTGGCAAAATCTTGATAACTTTTGAATCTGGGTGATGGGGGTTTGTTATATTATTTCCTTACTTTTGGTATGTTGAAAATTTTTTATAATGGTGAAAAAAAAGAATTCAGAGAGACAGAATATGGGTAGCAGGAAGTTGAAGTGTAGTAAGAATCCAAAGCGTCACACCAAATATCCCTTTTTTTTGTTTGGTTTTGGTTTTTTATCCTCACCCAAGGACATTTTTGCATTTATCTTCAGACAGAGCGGGAGGGAGAGAGGGAGGAAGAGAGAGAGAGAAACATCAACGTGAGAGAAACACATCAAGTGGTTGCCACCCACACGACCCCAACCAGGGCCAGGGACAAACTGCAACCAAGGTACATGCCCTTAGCGGAAATTGAACCCGGGACTCTCGGGTCCGCAGGCCAACGCTCTAACCACTTAGCCAAACCGGCCAGGGCCCAAATAGCCATCAAACTAGAGTTTGATGCCAGCAGAGCTAAACTACATATTCAGGAGTTCAGAACTGTCACACTAAAACACAAAAAAGAACCAATGTGAAGATTAAATGGCACCAGATGGAAAACAGTCTTTAAGGAACTAATTATTAAGAGGCCACGTTGCAAGTTGTGTTTGATGGGGATGGGTGGAGCAGCTGGGTTTTTAATGTGATGCCTTAAATAGTTACACTGCCCAGATGGATTTTTAAGAGTAGAGCATTTTGTTGTCGTTAATCCTCACCTGAGGTTATTTTTTCCATTGATTTTTTTGAGAGAATAGAAGCGAGTGGGGTAGGGAGAGAGAGAGAAACATCAATGTGAGAGAGACAAATCGATTGGTTGCCTCCTGCACGAGCTGACTAGGTGAGGATTGAACCTGCAGCCCAGGTATGTACCCTTGACCAGGAATTGAACCTGCGACCCTTTGGTGCTCGACTGACGCTGTAACCATTGAGCCATGCTGGCCAGAGCAAGAGTAGAGCGTTTTTATGTTTTTGATGTTTTACTTAGTTTTTAAAAATATAGTTTATAATTGTTATTACTATTATTATATAATTGTTATTATTATTATTACTATGGTAAAGGTAATGATGCCAAGTCTGTAAGCAAACAATATTCTCTGAAAGTAAGAAAACTTGCACATGAAGCAGAACAGGCAAAAGTGGAATTAATTGAGACAGAAAAGCAACTACAGGAACTGGAAAACAAAGATCTTTCAGATGTTGCTTTGAAAGTAAAATTACAGAGGGAGTTCCGTAAAAAGATGGATGCTGCAAAGCTGAAAGTCCAGGTAATTTTAAAATGTAATTGAGAAAACCAATTTAAAACTTTCTGCTGTTGAGGATTCTTGTACTTAGTGAGGAAAAAAGTAGGATTTAGTTTATAGCAGCAAGACAAACTGGAATGCAACTTTTCTTTTCCAGAGTGCTGGTAGGTTTATATAATTTTGATCTGGGTAATATATTTCTGCATTCAAGAAGTACATTATTTTAATTAAAAAACCATAAGGTAAGAAATAAAGATAACCACAGAAATAATGTCCTTTTCTAAAGGACAAAAGATTAATGATTAAATAATATATATAAAATATCTGGTACATGTATCTGGCACTTTGTAGATACTCAACAAATAATAACTCAGTTTTCTCAAACCATAACTGATCTGTTGAATAAAGGTTAATACCTTTGAGTACTATATTTTATTCTTAATTTTATAATGCTGGATTAGATATAACCTCAGAAGTAGCTACAGTTAAAAATTCTATGAGAAATACTTCATTACAGAGAGATTTTGTGGTTGGCATTGGTGGTATAGTGGTGAGAATAGCTGCCTTCCAGAGAAATTTTGTATAATGAAGCCATTTTCTTATGCTTTTGGTATGGTCAGAGTGCTGTATTAGTCTAATTATCATGAATTTGCTATGATTCCTTTTCCATTAATTATTCATAATTTATTGCTTTCATATCATTTCCACTATAGGTAGAATAGAATTGTAGGTAACCTGTTCAGAGCATTATTTATTTATTTTTGAAACTGTTCCAGTTATTTTTTTTTTTTTATCCTCACCCAAGGACATTTTTTCATTTTTTTGTTCAGATAGAGTGGGAGGGAGAGAGAGGAAGAGAGAGAGAGAGAAACATCGACATGAAAGGGACACATCGAGTGGCTGCCACCTGCACAACCAACCAGGGCCGGGGACAAACTGCAACCGAGGTACACGCCCTTAGCGGGAACCGAACCCTGGTCTCTCTGAAGCGCCAGTCGATGCTCTAACCACTGAGCAAACTGCCCAGGGCCAGTTATTTTCTTTTTTTAAAAAAATACATTTTTACTTATTAAAAACTTTTTTTCTTCATTGATTTTAGAGAAAGTAGAAGGGAAAGGGAGAGAGAGATAGAAACATCAATGAGCGAGAACATCGATTAGCTGCCTCCTGCATGCCCCCCACTGGGGATCAAGCCCAGAACCTGGGAATGGAACCAGTGACCTCTTGGTGCATGGGTCAGCACTCAACCACTGAGCCACACTGTCTGGGCCCAGTTATTTTCTTTTCGCAAGGTATTTGTTCACTGCATTTCTCCTGTGTGTTGAGTCCTATTCTATGTGGGAATGCAGAGGTGTACAGCAGCCCCAAGGGTTTTCTTATGACATCTCAAGTAGCCTCAAGTCAATACCATGTTTGAACTGACGAAAGGAGGATGTGGTAATTGTATGTATCACACCTTCCACTTTCCTTCAGAATACTGATTTTCACTTAGCAGTTTGAGAGTCTTGGGATCAGTTCTTTTGTACTGCTTGACCCTTTAAATTAAGGCTGTGATGTCTATCAAAGTAATTATTTTAACAAAACATTAGTAGAACAAAACAATTAAGATTTTTCTTTTGGCCCTGGCCAGTTTGGTTCAGTGGTTGGAGCATCAGCCTATGGACCAGAGAGTCCCGGGTTCAGTTACCGCTAGGGGCATGTACCAAAAAAAAGATTTTTCTTTTGTGTTTAAAATTTATTTATAATTTCATAGTTTTATATCCTAGTTTCAATTTTGATTATAATTTTTATACTCAATATCAATAAGTAATAACCAGAATTACTATTTTTCCAAGAAAGTTATATTTATCCTATATATCTACTGTTTAAGCCTTGTTTATAGCCTTAGCAAAGATTATTTTTATATGTTCTATATCTCACACAACTAAAATGGTTGAGTTTAAAAGATTAAATGAAAGATTATTAGCCCTGGCCAGGTAGCTCAGTTGGTTAGAACGTTGTCCTAATACGCCTAGGTTGCAGGTTCAATCTCCGGTCAGGGCAATACAAAAAGGAACCAATGAATACATAAATAAGTGGAATACAAATCATTGCTTCTCTCTCTCCAAAATCAATCAATCAATCAACAAAAAATAAAAATAAATGAAAGATTATTGATATTGTGAATTACCGTGTTCCTTTTGTTTTCCAAGTTGCTTGCTGCATATCCTTTTCTGCTAAGTGTACTGATAAGGAAAGGAAAGAAGACACAGAACTTAAGTTCAAAAGAAACATGTCATATAACAGAGGACTGAAACAAGATTCCCATGTAGTTTTAGGAATTTCTGTGCCTCTGACATATCCATGCACAATTGATAGGGGGGGATGATGGAAATGATGAGGATGGTGATGGGGTGAGGAGGAGGATGATAGTTACCCGTTATTAGTGTCTACAAAGTGCCATATATATACCAGGTGTTTTATATGTGTTGATCATTATTTAGTCCATTGAAGTGTGGTCATTTTTACCCTTTTTGTAAATGAGCAAGCTAATATTTAGAAAGGTAAAATAACTGTTTCAGAGTCACAAAGTTGTAATGACAGTACTAGCTTTCAGTATTCTAAGATATACCACTTTAAATATAGAAATACTAGAGTATTTGCTTGGTTTTTTTTTTGTATAATGAAGTTATTTCAGTTTGTAAAACAAAAATTTCTTTTAATTAAAAAAATTTGAAATCTGTATTCTTTATGTTATTATATATAGTTATATGCTGTATTAATATTTTAATGCTAACTGGTGCACTTTTGAGCATCTGGAATAAGAGTAAAAGATAGTGACGACCTATCTCACTTTTAAATAAGATTTTCAGTACTTATAGTGATGTGGAAAAGACATTAAAATGCTAGTATCATCATTTTGCTCCATCATTGCAATTACTGTCAAAATTAAATATTCTGTTTTATATTATTTTAATTTTTACCATATACATATAATATTTTGTAATTACAGTACTCATTAATAAAAAGCAAAGAGATTAATTTTGTTCTTTTTCGCTATCAACATTAGGAAGTATCATCATTCTTAATATCTAGTGAAAATTATGTTGGTTTCCCAATTGTAAAAGTAGAAATATAGAAAACAATTGTGAGCCTATCAAAAATAAAAAATAAATTAAAATCTAGGCAAAATGCCTACACTTACCATTGAGTGAAAAGTTTGTTTACTTGACATTTATGAGAGATGCAGTTTTTCATTTTGAAATGTTCTATATGATCTCAGGTCTTACAGAAGAAGCAACAAAATAGTAAGAAGTTGGCATCACTTTCGATCCAAAACGAGAAACATGCTAATGAATTAGAGCAGAGTGTAGATCACATGAAATATCAAAAGGTACAGCTGCAAAAAAGACTTCAAGAAGAAAATGAAAAAAGGAAGCAACTGGATACAGAAATTAAGCGGGATCAACAAAAAATCAAAGTAATATTGTCATACTTTCCTGCTAAGCATAATGTGAAATATTAAATGGCTCAGAGCTAAGGAAGCCAAGGTCTTGATTTGACTTCTGAGATATCTAACCTCTCCTTGGCTGCTGTCCTTATTCTCTTTAAAGCTTTGCTCATCTACATAGTAAAACCTATTTATTGAATTCTGAGTACTGTCTTGAAGGCTTTGACTTCACAAAAGAAAGTTCAGTGATAGTTTCTCAAACTAGGGCCTTACCTTAAGTTGCAGCTGTCAAAAACATATAAAGCCAATTTCCTAAATAACATCTGACATTTGAATAGTATTTCCCATTTTCATAGTGCTTAGAAAAGCATTGTCCATGTGGCAGCATAGAAAAAAGTACAAGGTACCAGTTCATTCATAGTGAGCAGAAGAGTGATATCAGATCTGTATGTACAGCAGTTCTATAGAATGGACTGGGATGGGCAGGAACTAGTGGTGTCAGCGTGGGCTCTGGAGCCAGGCTAGCATAGGTTCAAATCCCAGCACTCTCAGTTGCTAGCTGGATCATTTATTGAGAAAATCACTTACCCTCTCTGAGTCTCTTTATTTATATCTATAATGAATGACCTTAATCATACCTGCATCACAGGACTCTTGAAGAAAGAGAATGATCATGATCATAACAACAATAAAAAACACTTATCTAGCACTACATACCAGTCTCTTCTGTTGAAATATTAAGCCAAACCCAAGGCTTGGAACATAATTGGAGATTTCCTAGATACTTAATTTTGGAATATAATCAATTCTCAGACCTTAAAAAAAAAATCATAGAATTTAGTGATGGAAGCGAACTTTAAAAGCATTTAAGCTAAATTACTTATTCTTTTTTTAATGCATTTATTGAGATGTATTTCACATACCATACAATTCATCCATTTAAAGTATATAGTAGGTTTTGGTATATTATAATTAATTTTTATAAGTTGTGGTAAAATGTATATAGCATGAAATATATTATTTTACCCATGTTCAATTGTACAGTTCAGTGGCTTTAATTATACTCACAATGCTGTGCAACCATCACCATCTATTTCCAAAACTTTTTCATCACCCTTAAACAAATACTTTGCCACCATTAATAACTCCCTATCCCCTCCTTCCCCCCAGCCCCTGGTAACAGCTAATCTACTTATATCTCTGAATTTGATATTTCATAAAAGTGGAATCATACACTATATTTGTCCTATGTCTGTCTTATTTCACTTAGCATAATATTTTCAAATTTCATCCACATTGTAGCATGTATCAGAATCTCATTTCTTTTTATGGCTGAGTAATATTCCATTGTATACATATTCCACATTTTGTTTATTCATTTATTGATAGACACTGCATTGTTTTCATCTTTCGCCATTGTGAATAATGCTGTGATAAACAATGGCATACAAGTAATTGTTTTAATCCCTGCTTTCAATTCCTTTGGAATTGAAATACCTAGGAGTGGAATTGCTGGGTCATATGGTAATTCCATATTTAGCCTTTTTGAGGAAGCACTAACTGTTTTCAGTAGAGGCAGCATCATTTTACATTATCACCAGAAATGCATGAAAGTTCCAGTTTCTCCACACATTTGCCAACACTTGTTGTTTTCTGTTGTTGTTTTTTTGTTATAGACACCCAAGTATGTATTTCATTGTGGTTTTGATTTGCACTTCCCAAATGGCTAATGATGTTCAGCATCTTTTCATGTGCTTATTGGCCATTTGTATATCTTCTTTGGAGAAATGTCTATTCAAGTTCTTGGTCTACTTTTTAAAAATTTCTATTCCAACCCTTTTATTTTTATTTATTTCTTAATTGAATTTATTGGGGTGACATTGGTTAATAATATTAGGGTGAAAAAGGTGAAGGGATTAAGCAAAAATAAACAAAACCCTCACAGACACAGATAACAGCATGGTGATTACAAGAGGGAAGGGGGCTGGGGGAGGTAGGAAAGGTAAAAGGGAAATAAATGGTGTAGCAGGAGACTTTGTCTACTTTTTAGTTGGATTGTTTATCTTTTGTTGTTGAGTTGTAGGAGTTCTGTATATATTCTGTACATTAAACTCTATCAGATATATGACTTCCAGTATTTTATCCCATTCTGTAGGTTGTCTTTAAACTTTCTTGATAATATTCTTTAATGCAACAAAGCTTTAATTTTTATGAAGTCCAATTTATTTTTCCTTTCGTAACTTGTACCTCTAGTGTCATTTCTAAGAATCCATTGCCAAATCTAAGATCATGAAGACTTAACCTTATGTTTTTTATAAAGAATTGTATGGCTTTAGCTCTTATATTTAATAAGTTGTTGATCTATATTTAGTTAATTTTTGAACATGGTGTGAAATAAAGGGCCAACTTCCTTTTGCATGTGGAAATCCAATTGTCCTAGCACCGTCTGTTGAAGAGACTGTTCTTTCCCCATTGGATGGATTGTTATCCTGGTCAAAAATCAGTTGGTTGTAGATTTATAGATTTATTTCTAAACTCTCAGTTCTATTTCATTTGTACATACGTCGGTCCTTGTGCTAGTACCACAGTGTTTTGATTACTGTGGCTTTGTAGTAAGTTTTGAAATTGGGTAGTAAGTCTTCCAACTTTGTTGTTTTCAAGATTGTTTTGGCTATTAGAGATCCTTTGCAATTTCATAGGAATTTAAGGATCAACTTTTCCATTTCTGCAAAATAGCCACTGGAATTTTGATATGGATTGCATTGAATCTGTAGATCTTTTAGTATAGTATTGACATTATGACAATATAACATCTTCCTATCCATGAGCATTTATTTAGGTCTTTAATTTCTTTTAGGAATGTTTTATAATTTTCAGTGTAGTAGTCTTTTACTTCCTTGGTTAAATTTATTCCCAGATATTTTATTCTTTTAGATGTTATTGTAAATGGAATTGCTTTCTTAATTTCCTTGAGTTACTCATTCTTAATAATAATGGTAATAGTTATTATTATGGCAGTAGTTGACATTTATTGAGTATTTACCCTCAGTCAATACTATGCTAAGCACTTATGTGCTTTAACATACTTAATTCTTCTATATTTTCAACTTTTCCTTTCTCCTAGAATCCTTCTTTAAACATCTTAGATTTTTTTTTAATCCTCACCTGAGGATATTTTTTTCCCATTTATCTTCAGACAGACTGGGAGGGAGAGAGAGAGAGAGAGAGAGAGAGAAACAAACATGGATGTGAGAGAGACCCAATGACTGGTTGCCTCCTGCACGACCCCAACCAGGGCCAGGGACCGAACCATAACCGAGGTATGTGCCCTTGGCCGAAATCGAACCCGAGACCCTTTGGTCCATGGGCCAGGGCTCTAACTGTTGATCCAAACTGACCAGGGATAAACATCTTAGATTTTTTCTCTCATCCTAAAATTATCCTCCTTTAGTCTTATAATACACTCTCTCTCTCTCTCTCTTTTCCCTTCATAACCAAACTTCTTGGAAAAGTTTACTGCATCTGTTTCTGTTTCCTCTGCTTCCATTCATTCTCTTATCCTCTCCAGTTTGGCTTCTGCCTCCCAGCTCTACTGTCCATTGCAAAGCTCTGAGAAGGTCATTAGTGCTATCTCTGTCACTAAAGCCCTTGGCTTAACACCTCAGTTGCATCTAGCACAGTTCACTGCTCTCTCCATCTTGAAATATTTCCCCCTTTGCCTTTATGAAATTATTCTCTCCTTGTTTTCTTCTCTTTCTGATTGATTATTCTCTGTCTTTACTAGTTCACCCTACACTATCAGTTCTTTACATGTGGGAATTCTTCAAGGCCCTAGCCTGTGCCCTTTTATCTTCTACACTCTGTCCTGGGTGACCTAATTTTTTCCATAGCTGCAGTTAAACTTTGAAAACTCCCAGATTTAATCCTTGATTCCAGATTTTCTCTTTAAGCCATGGATTCATATCTAATTACTGATATTTTCATTAGGTTATTCTATAGATGAATTTATGACATTCCTTATTAAAAATCTCCCTACAAGCCCCGCTCTGTTTCCTTCAATGGGGGAGACAGTGTCATTTTCCAATGTGATTTACATGATACCTCAATCTGTCATTTGGGTAAACTAGAAACTTGGCAGTCATCCTTAACTCTGCCTCTTCCTTATCACCCATATCCAATGAACTGCTAAGTCCAATAGATTATATCTTGAATCTGTTAACTTCTCATTTCTACTGCCAACAATCTAGTCTCTGTTACAGTCCTTGTTCCATTGTGAGGATCAGGCCAGCCTGTCAGTCTTATGGTCTTTGGGTCTCAGCTTCTCATCCCTCAAAGGCCATGGCTTAATCCAGGGTTGGGAACGTCTGGCCCGCAGGCTGTATAAGGCCTGCAAGATCAATACCAGCTAACATCACATGCCTCACCAAATTAGCCTGACCAAATATAGCAGGCTAATTTAAAACAAAATTTTTTTCTTTATTGATTTTGGAGAGAGAGATAGAAACATTGGTGAGAAAGAACACTGATTGGCTGCCTCCTGCATGCCCCTCACTGGGGATTGGGTCCACAATCTGGGCATGTGTCCTGACCGGGAATTGAACCAGTGACCTCTTGGTGCATGGGTCAATGCTCAATCACTGAGCCACACCGGCCGGACAGCAGGCTAATTTTTAAGTTGATGATTTGGTATGGCCTGCAAATGATGTTATAAATATCCAAATGGCCCTTGGCAGAAAAAAGGTTCCCTACCTCTGGCCAAATCAACAAGGCATAGAACTCTCTAAATTTATGCTTAGGAAAAGGAAAAAAACTCTTCTGATCAGAGTGTATAGAATGCTGAAATGCAATTCTGCCTGTAACTTAAGCTTTTTACATTGTTATGTAGGACAGTTTTGTTCCTTTAGCTGTATTTCACATTTTAGGGAAATGACCCATTTAAAAGGGAGAATTGAGTATTCCAAAGAAGTATTGACATTTGTACTATTTCATGCACAAACAGAAACCTGCTCACAGTCTTAAAGATCATCTTGCCCTCTGTTTGGAGCTAACTGACACTTCTGTTTGATCAGTTTCCACTCAACTAAGCCACTTCCAGAGAATACAATGACTTCTGCGTAGGTTCTCCTTAGAGCAGCAGTTCTTAACTGAATTCCATGGATGAGCTATAAAGAAAAGGTATGGGAGGCCCTGGAATTGTGGGCCATAGTGTGCTCTTGGGCCTTTTTATTTCTTTTTTTTTTATCCTGAGGACATTTTTCCATTTTTTGTTCAGATAGAGTGGGAAGGAGAGAGAGGAAGAGAGAGAGAGAGAGAGAGAAACATCAACGTAAAAGGGACACATCGAGTGGTGGCCACCTGCACAACCCAACCAGGGCCAGGGACAAACTGCAACTGAGGTACGCGCCCTTAGCGGGAACCGAACCTGGGTCTCTCTGGACCGCAGGCCGACGCTCTAACCGCTGAGCCAAACTGGCCAGGGCGGGCTTTTTATTTCTTTCAGCACCAATTTCCTCATCTATAAAATGTAGTTTATAACAGCCCTAGCAATAGGACTATTGTGAGGATTACGTGGGATACTTAAATAGATATAAAAAGGCTAGCACAGTGCCTGGCAGACAATTATTTTAATTGTAACAGGGATCACAATATAAAATAAAGGCAATAATGTCTACTGCAAAATGTAGAAGAGGGAATTAGATCGACTGCAGTATTATTTTAAAGCATATGTGGAACAACAGGAATAGTAGAGTTAGCTCCAAGTAGAAGGTGCTTTTATTTAAGCATCTTCAAGTTGCTGTGACTGTGACAGGGGCCAAACTATAATTATGAACTAGATCTAGGGAAGCATGAAAAATTGATGGGTAGTAAATATAATGGGGTCCAAATTCACTCATAATGCAGAGAACATTTATTTAGTGTTTAGCAGACCTGTTTTCTTTATGACACCCCCCCATCCTGCCCAATTCATGTCATGATAATTGCTGGAAACATGGAAAGTAATCAAATGTCCAGTCTGTTTAAACTTTTTCTGATAACTTAACATTTCCTTTGAATAATTCTTAGCTCTCTTGAATAATAAGGTGTAGCTTCTTAGCTTTTTCTGCCTTGTGCTTCTCTCCCTAAGATGGAATCTGGTGTATGTGGTGGTTGGGTGTGTAGGTTTTTATTGCATCCTATGGAGTTGAGGGGGAAATGGCCTCCTGAGTTTTAGTTGGGCTTTGGATGTGACTGGCTGCAATCTGCTCTCCCTTGTCCACCTTTCCCTGCTGGCCCCTGATAATGGAACCCATGGCTAGTATGACTCATAGTCTGGTCTTGCTTTCAGCTTAGAGCATGGAGGTGTTTTGACTTCATTTCATTTCCTAATGGCATTTATATTATAAATCCCTGTTGAGCCTACTAGGTCTTCCATCTACCTTGCTAACCTTGTAGTCTATCCTCACCTTCATTTGTGTCAATTCTTCATGATAAATGACCCCCAATGGCTCTCAACTCAGGGTCCAGGTCATCTGAGGTCAAGAGGTCCAATTAGTCTCTTTTTCCTGACTATGCTCTTTCAGCAAGGCTGGGCAATCCCATTTGGGTGTGGGACTTCTGCACTGCAGTCTGCATTCTCTCCTTCTGCCCTCGTGATGCCTTTACTTATCACCCCCTTTCTGAGCCAAAACTTGAGAGGAAAATTGGGACATATATCTTTCTTACTCTTTATTTTCTCCTTTCTGCTGTTCCCAAGGCAGGGAAATGGTAGACTTCCTTTTTACTTCTTTTTATCAGTACTTCTGAAATCACCTGTGGAAAAGGTACAATTTTTATTTTATTACTAATTTATCACAGCCCAATACTTTTTAAAAACATGAACTAGTTGAAAAGTGAAATAAAAATTAAAACATAAAAGTCCATCTTTAAATTATTAGATTTAACAGACATAAGATTATGTCAAATTGCCCTAAAAATTTCTAAACACTCAATTTCTGTACTTACCCATCATGGATCAGGAAAAGATGGTATGCCCACTTTGATTCATGGCTACCTTCCTGATTCCTGCCAAGCTGTAGTGGTGACAGTGGCATCTTCTCTAAACCTGGGGAGAGCACAGTGAACATTGGCCCTCTTGACATGACTCTTAAGATGTGGAAGGAAACTAAAGGAATTTGGAGAATACTCTTCACAGGACCATGATCTGTCTTGCAAAACTATTCTCGTGCTGCAAAATCTGATTTTTGAATGCCAGAAATGGACTAGTACTTTTCTTTTTACACTTCTATTGTCATAAGTCCTAATATCCCCATGCAGATGGGTACCTTGGATGGACTGAGGGTAATGAGCTCTGAAAGGCACAAGAGTAACGCACATTTATAATTTTCAGACCCATCCATGTTTATGCTAATTTGTAACACTGTGAAAGAAGGAAAAAAAAACAAAAACCCTTAGTTTTGTTAGTAGAACCTGATTTTTACTGTGAGATTTTATTGCTTTGGTGAGGGGCTAATGTTATTTTCTTCTCAAATAGCCCCAATCTCATCTACTCATTTTCTTTTTGCAGCTAAGAAAGCAAATGTTAAAAAAAAATGATATTTCATCAATGTTTAATGATGACCACGTAGTAAAAGCCATAAGGTGTTTCTGATTTCTGTTTTCTGCAGGAACTAAAGTTAAAAACACAACCAGAAGAAGATCTGAAACTGAAAGCTGAGGACCTTGATGCATCTAAGAAGGAAAGGAGAAAAGGTTCGTTTGGAAGTATAGACCAACTCCAGGTTTGTCCATTGTATTTAGTGTTTTTTGGTTTTTCTTCTATTTGATGATTGTCTAATTAGAGGTAAAAAGTGAACTCTGAATAAAATCTTTAAACACTAGGTTTTGCCATTTGAGGGTAAAATTTCTAATATTTCTTCTGAAAATTTTCTGTTATTGAAAAATTATCATCCAGAAATGTGCTGTATTCTTAATTTCAGTAGAAATGTGTTTATTTGAATGCTGTGGAATGTAAACATGAAATCCACATTCACCAGATTTTATCTATTCTAACCATGTCAAAACTGGTTTATTCCCATGGAAAAATATATTTCTAAAAATCAGAGCTCTCCATTAGTTTTATATGCACTATATATTATATATTAAAAAGCTATTGTTTTAGTGCCATATTTAAAAAATGAAATTCACGTCCTGGCCGGTTTGGTTCAGCGGTTAGAGCGTCAGCACGTGGACCGAAGAGTTGCAGGTTCAATTCTGGTCAAGGGCACGTACCTCGGTTGTGGTTCGGTCCCCAGCCCTGGTTGGGATCGTGCAGGAGGCAACCAGTCGGTGTGTCTCTCTCACATCAATGTTTCTCTCTTTTTTTCCTTCTCTCTCTCTTCCCTCCCACTCTGTCTGAAGATAAATGGAAAAATTTCCTCAGATAAGGATAAAAACAAAACAAAACTGTAATTAAACTAAAATGCACATACATCACCTTGATTCTGAAAAAAATATTTGTTCTCTTCCTAAATTTTATACTTTAATAGTAAAATTTAGTTCATGAATATATAGCAGGTCCTCAGATAATGTCATTTTATTCAGTGTTGTTTCATTATAATATTGATAAGATGCTTTAGGAGCTTAACTTTTGTTTACATCAATTAGCCTGTGGTAAAATTGGTTTCATTATATGTACGTTTGCTTAAAATTGCAGAACCTACCAACAGTGTTAAGTGGGGACTTACTATATTCCCAATTATTTATTTATTTTTTTAAACATATCTTTATTGTGGAATGTATTACAGATGTCCCTCTTTTTCCTCCCTTTGACCCTCCTCCGCAGTCCTGTCCCCTCCTGCTTTCCCCACACTACTGTCTGTGTCTATTGGTTATGCATATATGCATGTAAGTTCTTTGGTTTCTCTCTTCCCGCCCCACCTCCCCCTTTCCCTTTGAGGTTCATCAGTCTGACATCAATTATTTATTTTATTAGTGTATTTTCGAAATTGGTTCAAGAGCACTTTTGGGTGGAAAAGGGAGAGTGTGGGGGGGGTGAGAAGGAGAAGTAGGGATGCATAGAATAGTGAGACCTATTTTTCACAATGTTAAGGATCTAAATTTTAAACAAATACAATAAGAATAAGATTCCTGTTGCTTGCACTGTGTTGAGTTAAAAGAAACAACACACAACTGTTCCTGTCTGGTGTGGTTCAGTGGTTGAACATCGACCCATGCACCAAGAGGTCGCAGGTCCAATTCCCAGTCAGGGAGGCAGCCAATCGATGTTCTCTCTCATTGATGTTTCTATCTCTCTCTCTCCCTTTCTCTCTCTCTAAAATCAATAAAGAAAAAAGAAGTTAGTCCTGGCTGGTTTGGCCCAGCGGTTAGAGCATCCCGAGAGACCAGATGCTCTAACTGCTGAGCAAAACCGGCCAGGGCACAACTTCATGTTTTTTAATGTTCTAAAACAAAAACCCATGTTTTAGAATTTGGCTCTAAACAAGGACAAGATTTATATGCTAGTCAATATGAATATCTAGAGAACTTATAAGACAGTGATTTGATATGAAGTTCCTTTATAAGAAGAAAGTATTTAAAATCAACTCTATGGTAGGAACTTTTGCTATAAAAAGAGAAAAGACAAATCAAGAAATTTTCAGAAAACTGAGATACAGTGAATTACATAAATCATAACCTTCATTATATGAAATGCAGAAAAATCCATTTATCAGTTTCCCTAAAAAACCTGTATTATGTTAGCAGACTCCTACCTATTCTTCAAAGCACTGCTAAAATATTACCTACTCTGTAGGGCTGGTACTGGCATGTCTTCCATTTCCAGACAAAACCAATCTATTTTTGTTTACATGGTACATAGGAGTTAGCATTTATCATCAACAATAATAATTTTTTGGTTTCTCTCCTGTTGTAATGGAACTTACAAAAGCTCTATTGTTCATCTTTCCAACCCCACTCACAGTCAAGGAATGTTTGAAGAATATGTTTAGTTGCTAGACTTCTTAGGATCTCACATATGGACTTTTTAAGGTATCGCTAGCTGGATATAATCAAAATAAAGTATTTCTATAGTTGCTCTGGGATATCCTTTGTGTTCTAAAAATTGTAGAGCTGCTGTTTTAGACTTTAGTAAGGTTTGGATGTAATAGTGCTATAGGATCATACTCTCTAGGTGTAGATGGAAGACTGATATCTCTGGACCAATTGTGCTGTGGCTACTTTGCTTTTTTTTTCTCATGCATATTTTCTGTCTCATTATCTTAATGTAGATTTCAAGGAACCATTTTTTATCAAGTTTGAGAAGAACTGGAAAATAGTACTGTATTTATTTGTTATCTTATTTGTTGTTTAGTTGGCATTGCTTCATTACTGTTAACACAGTGCAAATGAGTGCTTAGTAGAATTCACCTTGAATAGTCATATTCCCTTCATATTTTTGTTTGTTCTTGCTTCTGGGTATTCTTAATTCAAGAGAGTATTAAGATGCTTGTTTTGGAACCCTGGCCAGTTTGACTTAGCAGTTAGAGCGTTGGCCTACAGTCCAGAGACCTGGGTTCGGTTCCTGCTAAAGGCACGTACCTCAGTTGCAGTTTGTCCCTGGCCCTGGTTGGGTCGTGCGGGTGGCAACCACTCAATGTGTCCCTTTCACGTCGATGTTTCTCTCTGTCTCTCCCTCCCACTCTATCTGAACAAAGTATGGAAAAATGTCCTCGGGTGAGGATTAAAAAAAAAAAAGATGCTTGTTTTGGAAATCTTTCTGACTGTATTTTATTGTATAGTTATTTGATGTTGACAGGATACAGCGCAGAGTGGATTTCCATGCTCCATTATCAGTGTCTTCCACTGTGTGTATTCATTTATTCACTTCATTGATTAATTGATTGAATCAGGCATTCAGTCATTCATTTAACATTTTATTGAAGGCAATCAAGAACCAGGTTTTGGGGATACAAAGGTGAAAAGTACAGTCCCGTAATCAATCAAGGATCTCAAGTTGGGGAGACAGACTCTAGAGCAACCAGCAGTGTAAGTGCTGTGATGGAGGTATGCACCTCTACAACAGAGGAAAAGATTCTCAGTGTGTTCTCTGAAGTAACTCTTAATATATGTAAAGAAAATTGTCAGTTCTATCTTGGTCAGCCTAAAAAATTCCAGACTAAAACATTTGGGGAGTAAATTTTAATTCCTTATTAAACAACACAGCAAGATGTTGACTGGAACCACGTACTTCTAGACAGTTTTAGTCAGGAACACTATTTTGTTATTTTCACTAGTAATTTTCAAATGTTTATTTAAGGTGTTTTAGCCCATCTGAAATTATATTACTATATAAATTTTATGGCAGAAGGAAAAAAATAAAATTTCTTTGGAATTTTAATGTAGAAATTGGATGAGCAAAAGAAATGGTTAGATGAAGAAGTAGAGAAAGTTCTGAACCAACGCCAAGAATTAAAGGAGCTGGAAGAAGACCTACAGAAGCGGGAGGCCATCGTTTCTAAGAAGGAGGCCCTATTACAGGAGAAGAGCCACCTGGAAAATAAGAAGCTGAGAACTAGTCAGGTATTCTATTTAATATGCTCTTTCATTCTGGTTGTATGTCATATAAAGTAGGATTTTTTTCTCTAAGAAGTAAACCAGTGTGAACTCAGAAATCAGAAGGACACTCTTCTGGTTTTCATTGTATTTTGCTTATTGCTGCTCATCTAATGCCATCACTAAAATCTGTTGCAATTTTGAAGTAAAATGTTCAATGTTCTGCCAAGTATGATTTATTTGTTACTAACTTTTTTTGGTGTTTTTTAAATTATGGTAAAATATACATAACGTAAAATTTACCATTTGACCATTTTAAAATGTAGAATTTAGTGACATTACATTCACATTGTTTACAATCATCATTACTGTCTAAAACTTTTTATTACCCCAAACAGAAACTGTAACCATTAAGCAATAATCTCCATTTCCCCCTGTTATTAACTTTAATGCATATTTTTAATACTATTTGATGTTTTACACTGAACATTGATAATCTGGAATAATAGACTTGAAAATGATCTAGCTATCACTACTCAAAGTTAGAGGTTTGCAGGATTTCAAATTATAAAGACTTGGGGACCTTTACAAAAATTTTTGCTGGAGGACTTGGATTTTATGAGCCAGTCAAAGAAGTGGTTTTATGAAGGAATTTGCTTCAATTTCAAGTTTTGAAGAAAGAATGATTTTGAAGTGAGTAGAAGGACCATGAGACACATTTTTGATATATCTTTGCAAATCTTCAACATTAGCAACAGCAACAACAGAATCTAAAAATGAAGCTGGGTTGCCCCGACTTGAAAAAGACTTTCTATCCAAACCTTTGCCTCCAGCAGGCCTTGAGTCCAAGGTCAATTTATATATTGAATTGAGGGACAGAGAGGATCAGTGACCTGCTTCTTTATTAGATCTGCCTTTCAGCCAAAATATAGATCAGTAGGATCTGAGTTGACAGTGGCGTGTTCTTAACCTCTCCACCTCAATATAACAGGTAGACAGGGGTGGGGACCTGTACTTAACCTCTGCTCTGTTCTCTGTTCTCCAGACATATTGAAATAGCTATTAGCACCAGGCTGCTGGACAGAGGGGTAGGGCCACCCTCTCCAACCACCCTAATTGCTGGTGCTATAACCAGGTAGCATGCTCACACTGGCTGTCAGGGTGAAGTTTTAAAAGCTACCCCTCAAAACCTGTAAACAAGAATAAAGGGGACTGCCAAATTAAAATATCAAGTGAGTAAACAGAAGAAAATAACCTGGAACTTTTATGATATGTTCTGTATCACAAAAGAAGAGGAAAGAATAAAAAAAATAAGAGAGAAAATATTTTTACAGAAATAAGTTTACGCCCTGGCCAGTTTGGCTCAGCAGTTAGAGCGTTGGCCTGCGGTCCAGAGAAATAAGTTTACTCCATGATACAAAAAAAATGAAAACAGATATTTTATAGTTTCAAGAAGATGTACTATTTAGGAGCAAGAACATAAGTAGATACTCACTGCGATAAGTAGAGAGTACAAATAAATGAAACCCACAATGGATCAAAGCAAAATTGATTCTTTGGAGATTGTGTTAATGAAACAGAAGGAAAACTTGAGACTGTTACACTACTGGGTTCTTTTCTGAACAAGAGGCACAACAAGATTATAACTTTTTAGTGTTTAAGAAATATTTACAAGAGTCCTGACAGGGTAGCTCAGTTGGTTAGAGCATTGTCCTGATACACCAAGTTTGTGGGTTCAATCCCCAGTCAGGGCACATATAGCAGTGTACCAATGAATGTAAAAATATAAAGAAATACAAGAATTGATCCTATGTGTTTCAGACAAGGAACGTGATAGTTAAAAAACTACATTCATACCATATATGAATTTAACTCCAAAATGAGTCAAGGACCTAAATGTAAGACTTAAACTATGAAACTGTTAGAAGAAAATATAGACATAAATATTCATGACCTTGGATTAAAGCATTGGTTTCTTGGATATTACACATAAAACACAAGCAACAAAAGAAATATTAGAGAAATTGGACTTCATCAAAATTAAAACCATTTGTGATGCAAAAGACCCCATTAAAAAGTGAAAAGGAAACCCACAGAATGGGGGGAATTATTTGCAAATCACATAATCAGATAAGGGAGTTGTATCTAAAATATATAAAGAATCCTTATAACTCAGTAATATAAAGAAAATCCTATTAAAAGTGGGCAAAGGATCTAATAGACATTTCTCCAAAGAAAAGAGATACAAATGACTAATAAACATATGAAAAGATGTTCAACATCATATCAAAATTACAATGAGATACCACTTCACACCCATGAGGATGGCTATAATCAGAAAAATAGATAATAAATGTTAGCAAAGATATGAAGGAATAGGAACTTTCATACCCTGCTGGTAGGATTGTAAAATGGTTTAGTTGCAGTTCCTCAAAAGAGTAAACATAGAATTACCACATGACCCAGCAATTCCACTCATAGATATATATCCAAAAGAAGTGAAAAACATATCTATATGAAAATTTGTACGTGAATGTTCATAACAGCAAAAAAATGAAAACATCCTAAATATCCATCAGTTGATGAATGGATAAACAAAATGCGGTATATCCTTACAATGAAATATTATTCAGCAGCAGAAAGGAATGAATTAGTGATACATTTTAAAGCATGGATAAACTCTGACCACATGTAAAGTGAAAGAAGCCAGTCATAAAAGACTACATATTATTTTATTTGAAGATAGAATATGGACATTTTCAGGTGAAAAGAATCTCCACATGACCTGTCTCAGGAAACTATTAGAGGATGTACTCTGCAAAAAAGAGGGTATAAACTATGAAAAAGGAAGACTCAGGACTGAAAATGTGATCCAACACAGAAATTTCCAGGATAATACCAAAGGAAAGTCCCAGAACAATTTGTCTAGCATAGAGCCAGAATATGGAGGCTCCAGGCAAAATATTCCCAGAAAAGAATGAATGAAAAGATTTCCTGATTTAAGTTTGATCAAATGAAGAAATCATGTTCAGAGGAATTTTAAAGTACTATTGGACAAGAATTAGTTATAAGATACAAAAAAAGTATCAGATGGAATTATGATCTTTATTTATTTATTTATTTAAAAATCCTAACCTGAGGACATTTTCCCATTTTTTGTTCGGATAGAGTGGGAGGGAGAGAGAGTAAGAGAAAAAGAGAGAGAAACATCAACGTGAAAGGGACACATCGATTGAGTGGCTGCCACCCACACAACCCAACCAGGGCCGGAGACAAACCGCAACTGAAATACGCACCCTTAGAGGGAACCGAATCTGGGTCTCTCTGAACTGCAGGCCGACGCTCTAACCGCTGAGCCAAACTGGCCGGGGCAGTATGATCATTTTTTAGTCGATAGTTAAGATATAAACTATTCACAAGGTCATGTAAACTGAATATTGATTTAATAAAAAACTATAATACATATTGGGAGAGTGGAAGGAGAAGTAGGAAAGAGAAGGCATAGAAGTACTAAGTCCTTATCTTCCATAATCTACAGTCAGTAGACAGTATCTAAAATTGATGTTACTTAGAAACATGGACATAAACACCGGAAGAAATATCTAAAACATTGAAGATGGTTGTTTCTGGGGATCAGGACTCAGGTGAAAGGGTGAGGTAGGGGATGGCTTTTCTAAAAATTATAAACTTTATGGCAATATAAACATATAATGACTTTGATGAAAAAAATATTTTAAAAATTAACTTACTCCATAATGTAGAGCTCCCATAAATCTAACTGGCTATATTTTCTGACCAGAATGAAACAAGTAGAAACAAATTATATGTTTAAATAACAACTAACCAAATCTCAAATTCTAGGAAATTTTAGTGTAATTAAGTCTACTATGTAACCAGGCCAAAGAAGAAAAGTTCAGTTTAGAAAAATCATAAAGAAAACTGCCTCTCAAAAGCTATGCTGTGTAGTCTGATGTGGCCAAGCAATACTTGGTAGTAAATTCATTGTTTGAATTTTTTGGGGGGGAATTGCCAATTTTTATTTTACCACATAAAACCATTTAAAGCCCTGACCGGTTTGGCTCAGCGGTTAAAGCATCAGCCTTCGGTCCAGAGAGACCAGGGTTCGGTTCCCGCTAAGGGCATGTATCTCGGTTGTAGTTTGTCCTCGGCCCTGGTTGGTCGTGCGGGTGGCAGCCACTCGATGTGTCCCTTTCACGTCGATGTTTCTCTCTCTCTCTCTCTCTCTCTCTTCCTCTCTCTCCCTCCCACTCTGAGCAAAAAATGAAAAAAAAATGTCCTCTGTTGAGGATAAAGAAAAAAAAACCATTTAAAAACTATTGTTTATGAAAACTACCATTACTTTATAATAAAATAGACATTTTACCACACACAAAATAGAAAAGAAAATTTCAAAATATAAAACAGGTGTTTTTGAATAATAATATTATTTTAATTTCAGGTATACAACATTATAATTCTATATGTGTATACTCTATTATTGTGTGCTCACCACCAAAAGTCTAGTTTTCATCCATCACTATATATTTCACTACCTTTACCCATTTCATTTTTTTAAAAAAGGCATTCAACTTAAGATTTTAGAAAACCAAGTCCCCGTACCCTCCTCACAAAAAAATCCATGGGAAAAAACAATAATGTAGAAGCTAAAAAAATATTCATTTAATAATTTTCTCTCTGTGGTTTTAAATTATATGTACTTTTTATTTCTAGTAACTTTTTTGGGTATCTTGTGGATTGTATCATTTTAGGCTTTAAACACAGATAGTTTGAAAATATCAACTCGCCTGAACTCATTGGACCAAGAGTTGTCTGAAAAGAAGGTGCAGCTCCAGAGCAGCACAGCTGAGGAGAAAATAAAGATTTCAGAACAAGTTCAAGCCCTCCAGAAAGAAAAAGATCAGCTACAGAGACGAAGAAACAGTGTGGATGAGAAACTTAAAAATGGTAGCGTGTTGTCACCCGAAGTAAGTCAGTATTCTTTGGAACTGGAAGTGCTGTATGATGGACCACTTGGATGATTTTCTCCCTTTGTCACTTAAACATAAAAATGATAAATCTGGTGGACTTTGTTTCCTTGAGACTTTGTCAGATGTGATGAGTTTACCTGGCACCACAAGCCATGCTTGACTGGAGACTGCCATGTCCTTATGTAGAGGACCATGAACATGGCCCCTTCCCATGGATTGCCAGGAATTGGGACACCAACACTTTTCCTAGAGTCTAGCCTTTCTCAGCTGGGTTTCTCATCTGAACTCACAAAACAGACAGTGACTTTTTTCTTATTTCTTCCAAAGAGGGGCACCTTCCTTCTCTCTGTGCATCTTTCTTGAATGATACTAGGTAATTCATTACATAAAATGGATGCCCAGGGCACTAAGGGTTAATTCTTCCTATTACCTTGGTTGAGAAAGGCCCAGTGTTTAGTATGTTCCTTCCAGGTAGATACATAAAATTAAAATCCCAATAGAAATACCCTTTAGTTAGAATTTTCATTTAAGGGACCATATAGCTCCTCTCACGTTTATTTATTTATTTTTAATGGTGTAAACGATATTTATTGGCTATCAAATTGCCCCAGACTTTGTCTTTTTTCAGAATTTTACCTCAGTTGGCAATGGTACCTGTACCTTACTTGATCAGACAGAGATGAATTTTTGAGCCAGAATTTTCTCTGCGAATATTTATTGTTGATGTCCTGTCATTACCAAAGCAAGAGAAAATTGCTAAGAGAAAGTGAGTAGCTGGAAAACATGCACCTTGCTGAATCTTGTAGTGTTTTAGATTAGAGCAAGTATGAGAGGAAGTTAAGGGGGCTGGTTAAGAAGGAACAGGAGAAAGAATTTCATTCTATTATATTATTGTTCATTGAACTGATGAAAGGTATTAAAGACTAAGTCGATTAGAGGCTCTGTGGCATTTAAGCCTCTACAGCAGCTTTTTAACTCAACTTAGGTAGCTGTGCAGAGGATCTCAAATTCAGGCTGTCCTTTCAAGACTGTTTAAATTGGAGCCCAAGCTTGTAAATTTGAAGGTATGAGAATCTAAGATACAGCAAAACATGTTAAGTATTTAAGGAATTTTGACTGCCCAAGACTATTACTGGGCCCAATGGAAGAAACAAAAAAGCAAAAAAGCATTATGCTTCTCTTGAGAAATTCATACTCTATCTGGAGAAAAGAGAAAGATAACATAAAAAAGCAAGTTACAGCCCTGGCTGGTTTTGCTCAGTGGTAAGAGCGTCGGCCTGTGGTCCAGAGAGACCCCGGTTCGGTTCCCACTGAGGGCATGTACCTCAGTTGCAGTTTGTCCCCGACCCTGGTTGGGTTGTGCAAGTGGCAACCACTCGATGTGTCCCTTTCACGTCGATGTTTCTCTCTCTCTCTCTCCCTCCCACTCTATCTGAACAAAAAATGGAAAAAATGTCCTCGGGTAAGGATTAAAAAAAAAGCAAGTTACAGACAATATAATAAAACCGTACTTATTATATTATTTATACAAAGCAATGCAGTGATCATTTGGGGGAAGGTTATTAAGGCAGCCTTAGTGGATTGGAATCTTGAGCTGGATTATGAAAAACCTACTATACTGGTCAATATAAAAAAGGCTATTTTAGATAGAACACTTAAATAAGGCATAGATATGGGAATGAGCAAATTATGTTTGCAGAAGGGTAAAGGGTCCATTATTATCATCAAGAAACATTTAGTTTCTTTTTCACGTGGAATTCTAGAACTAAAAATATGTGGGGTTTTGTGGTGAAAATAGAAGAGTGTGCATACTACCTATTTAGCAGTCACTCTGGGTTGGTGTGAGAGAGTGATGAGAGTCTCCTGCAGTCGGTGGGGTTCCATTTAGTCCTATGAGCTTCTCTGCATCCTTCTTCCACGTGGTTGCTTCTCTTTAAGTATGGCTCTGAAATGGGCTCTGACTCTCCCCACTGTTTTCAATCTATGATTAATATTACCAAATAGATCTGCCAGTAACAGATGGTGGGGAACATGAGATGCTGATGTGATACAAGATAATAAAATCTAGGTGGAAAGGCTTGCTGTTTGGATGTCTTTAAACTTGCTTAGAATTATTTTTTCTTTCCACAATAAATCAAAATATTTTTCTAATTGTATTCATGGGAAAATGATAGCTTTTAGATCACTATATAATTTCATATAAGCAAATCATCTCATTTGGTAAATCCAGAAACCAAGATTTTATTTTTTTAGATTTTATTTATTATTTTTAAAAAATGTGTTTTTATTGATTTTTTCAGAGAGAGTGGAAAGGGAGAGAGAAATAGAAACATCATTGTGAGAGAGAAACATCGACCGGCTGCCTCCTGCATGCTCCCTACTGGGGATCAAGCCTGTGCCCTGTCTGGGAATAGAACTGGAACCTCTCAGTCCCTGAGACTGTGCTCAATCCACTGAACCACACCGGCTGGGCCAGAAACTAAAATTTAAAAAAAGATTTTTTTTCTTTCTTTATTGATTTTTGAGAGAGAGGAAGGGAGAGGGAGAGAGAGATAGAAACATTGATGAGAGAGAACATCGATTGGCTGCCTCCTGCATGCCTCCCTAATGGGGATCAGGCCCACAACCTGGGCAATGCCCTGACCAGGAATCGAACCGTCGACCTCTTGGTACATGGGCTGATGCTCAACCACTGAGCCACACCGGCTGGGCAGAAACTAAGATTTTTTAAAAATTTAACTATGTTTCTAATAATGCAGAGCAGTTGCCTAGTAATTGAGGTATAGAAGAAAATATTATATCTATGTTTATTTCATATTTTAAACTTCCAATTTCATGTATTAAGATTAGAAGAAATGTATAATTATAGAGAAATATACATGTATGTAGTGTTTGCTCAGAAGTTTTTGTTAGTTTTGTTTTCTTTTTTACTGGTTGGGATATGTGATCTAAAAGATTTGGAGACCACTGCTTTAGATCCCTGTTACTCTCAGATTGCTCATGTCTGGACCAGCAGCAGCAGGATCACCAGGGAGCCTGTTAGAAATGCAGAGCCTCAAACCTACTGGATCAGAAGTCTGCATTTTAACTTTAATTTAAGCTCCTTGGTACACGATCAAATTTTAAAAAGTTCTCTATGATAAAGTATAGTCAATTCTTGGTAACCTATGGTTTGAGTTGTGGCAAATTTTCATCCTGGGACAGTTTCCCATTGCCACTCATCTTATCAACCTATACCTATTGCTGGGTTAGAGGGAACCACAGATATTTACACACTGCAGCCTCACTGGAGCAGGCTGGTCTCAGGGTTCTATACTCACTGTAGTACCTTATAATATCTTGGTGCTTCCTTAACTTAGATCAAAACTGTAGGAACTAAATTTGTAACAAATTGTTCCCAGCCACATATAAAGGCGAACTGTTTCCACATTTGTTTTTTGTGTTTTTTTTAAATCCTCACCGGAGGACATTTTTTTCCCCATTTTTTGTTCAGATAGAGTGGGAGGGAGAGAAACATCGACGTGAAAGGGACACATCGAGTGGCTGCCACCTGCACAACCCAGCCAGGGCCGGGGACAAACTGCAACCGAGGTACATGCCCTTAGCGGGAACCGAACCTGGGTCTCTCTGGACCACAAGCCAATGCTCTAACCGCTGAGCCAAACTGGCCAGGGCCACATTTGTTTTTTATAAAAATATAATTGCACTATGCATTCATAAGTCAAATATGTTCTTTGAATAACTTACTTTATTTTCTGGTTCCTCATTTATTCACCTAAATACCTTTCAGGATTTAAGTTTTCTTATTTTTCTTTAAAAGGTGAATATTTTCTTTTTTATAGAGTGATTGTCAAATCATCAGATTCTTGATGGTTAGTGATTGCACAGAGAAACAAAATGGCTGTAGGATATATTTTTTTTTTCCAAATGGCTCTTTCAGGATATTTTATAAAATGACTTTTAAAAATAAGTATTATTTGACCTTCCACTGGAATAGGTTGTTACATACCATTTCCATGAATTTCAGCAAAGGAGTTCTGGAAGTAACTCTGTTCTTTAGGTAGATTAGAAATACTGACACTGTTTTCCTTGAAATGCTGGGGAGAGGAGTGGAAAGAAATACTTGGGTCATATAACCAAGATATAATGAAAATATATTTTCTCTTCTTCCTTCATTAACTCATTCAGTAGACACTTACTGAATTTAAACTGTTTGATATATACTGTGCTAGGCAATGAGGACATTAATACAGACAAGACACTCTGCCCTCGAGAACTTAAAGTTGAGGTGACTTCCACCACATGTACAGGTATAAATTTATGAATCTATCCAGGTTTCAGCAAGTCCAGAATAATTTCTTACCAGAAAGTTGGATCTCACCCCGCAAATAACATGTTATTTGGATAGCTTGAAGAACCACTAGATTTTCTGACAGGTATTCATCATATTTTTTTTCCTACAAAGGAAATCTTCTCTGTCATGTGAACAAAATGTGGTTATGCTGCTACCACTTTTTTTTTTTTTTTTTTTATCCTCACCCGAGGATATTTTTCCATTTTTTGTACAGATAGAGTGGGAGGGAGAGAGAGGAAGGGAGAGAGAGAGAGAAACATCGACGTGAAGGGACACATCGAGTGGCTGCCACCCGCACGACCAACCAGGGCCGGGGACAAACTGCAACCGAAGTACGTGCCCTTAGCGGGAACCGAACCCGGGTCTCTCCGGACCGCAGGCCGACGCTCTAACCGCTGAGCCAAACTGGCCAGGGCTGCTACCACTTTTAATTCCTATATTTCCCCTCCAATGATGTCTCATAGAAGTCTTATGAAATGTTTCATGTCCTTACATCCTCACTACCTTTTTTTAATGCCACACTGTTTTTTCCCCTAGAGATTCGACTCTGATTATTAGTTCTTAATTTATTCTGAATCTATTTCTTCTTTCCCTCCTGGCAATATATTGTTTGAATAGATCCCTGAAGAAATATCAGGCGGTCTCCAGATCTCACTGACACATAATATATACTTTAGGAGCTAGGGAAGGAGATATATGACAAAATTGCTAATACTGTGTGGCCTGAAGCTATGAGTGTACTCCTTAGTGATCAGCATTTGCTGTATGACATTGGGATGTTTCATAACTCGCCTAAGCTTCTACCTCTCCCATTTTACTACATAGGTTTATTGCAGGGATCCAGCGATTATGTTATATATGTATACAAACATAAGTGAACTGTGTAGCATAGCAAGCACTCAATAAACATTATTTTCTTAAAGTTTAGTAGAAGAAAGGTAATGTCCATAAGACTCAAATACAGCAGGTCCTTGAGTAATGTCATTTTGTTCAAAGTCATTTTGTTATAATGTTGATGAGGGTAAAAAAATTGATTCCAGGCCGGGCCACTATCTGTTTGGAATTTGCACATTCTCTCCATGTCTGTAAGGGTTTTCTCTGCAGATTTCTATTTCCTCCCACATCCCAAAGCTGTGCACATTAAATGAATACATGTGTCTAACTTATCCCTGCCAGAGTGAGTGTGGGTGTGGGTTGGAGTGAGTGCGTGCCCTGCAATTGAAGGGTATCCTCTCTAGGGTGGGTTCCCACCTTTCTCCCTCAGTTGCAGGGACAGGTTCTGGCCACCCATAACCCTGAACTGGAATCAGTGGGTTGGAAAGTCATTATTTTACTTGTTTTTATTAATCTTTCTTAAATCTGTAGCTCACATTTATTTCAATGTTTAATATTAAAGTGTTTTGGGTCTTTATTTAGAGGTTTGGTGATGTTTCTGTGGCCGAATATATGCCGTAGGAACTTCTCATGTTTATATCAATTAGTGTATGGTAAAATTGGTTTTGTTATACATTGTTTTACTTTAAGTCACAGTCTCCAGGACCCTACTGAGGATGTTAAGTGAGGACTTAATGTAGCATAGTAAATCTTAGTATATGACAGAGTCCAAGTTATACTATTCCATTTAAAATGAGTGATTTCTGTTGTATTATATCTAGGAAGAACATGTTCTTTTCCAACTTGAAGAAGGAATTGAAGCTTTGGAAGCTGCAATTGAATACAAGAATGAAAGTATCCGAAGTCGCCAGAACTTGCTCAGAGCTTCACTTCAAAACCTCTCTCATAGTGAAGCAAATGTCTTGGAAAAACTAATTGGCCTGAATCCTACTGAGATTAGAGCTATCCTTTTCAGATATTTCAATAAGGTTAGTTTTTGAGGGATAAAAGATTTTCTTCTAAAGAGGGGTAAGATGCTTACATATCTCACATTTATTTAGAATTTTTACAGAAATTGAAAGGCTTATAGATTTGATGCTATAATTACAGATTTAAGCATAATTTCTGTTTACAGTACTGCATGTTGTCATCTGAAAGCTTAGTGATAATTCAAGTGTGTAGGCCTTTGAAAGAAGAGCTTTTTGAAGTAATTTTTAAGTCAAAGAATTGAAGCTATATTCCTCAGTCACTACTTCTTGATGTTTTCTAGATTTGGATGTTGCTAATCAGCACTCATGAAAAATCAAGGGCCTCCAAGTTTGGGTTCCCTTTAATTCATTGCTGTAGGATAGGGGTACATTTACTTTTTCATCATAACCTGTGAATTGATATGGAGATGAAGTGGTGCACCACTGACAAAGACAGTGATAGATTTTAGCATTAACCTGGATATGCTTAATATTCATTAAAATATTTTATATGTATTTGATAGTTTACTGATCCAGAAATGTTTTGTACCACAGAGAACTATATATTTTCTCTAATGTATTCTCTAAAAATTTTTTTTTTCTTTATTGATTTTAGAGAGAGAGGGAGAGGGAGGGAGAGAGAAACATTGACTACCTCCTGCATGCCCCCTACTGGGGATCTGGCCCACCACCTGGGCATGTGCCTTGACTGGGAATCGAACTGGCGACCTCTTGGTGCATGGGTCGATGCTCAACCACTGAGCCACACTAGCTGGGCTCTAATGTATTCTTTTAAGATATATATTATGAAGTGTTAAACAAGTAGGTGACTTTTTTTCTCTGAAAAGTATATGCAATTGAAGGGAATATCAGACAATTAATGAACAATAAAACACTGAAGTTTAAAAATAAAGTTCTAATTCTGTTAGACAAATGAAAGAAAATGAAAAATGAGTGGAAATGTTGTACACAGCCCTCCTCTTGGATAATTACTATCAGTCATAATTACTGATGAGAATGAATCCTATCACTGGGAGTGGACGGCAGAAAAATGGTGCAGTGCTGAGCAAGGTTTTGATACAAACAGCTCTTTTGTGGTGCTCTTAGATCAAGTGTTCTTAACCCAAAGCATCCAAGCCAAGGTCAGTGGATTTTCTGATCCTGAGAACCATTGGTAGAAATGCATATTTTTCTTAAAAGGTCACTATATTTAACAAGCTTTGTGAAACAGACATTTTTACTTCATATCAATGCAAAGAAGAACCCAGTGGACTAAATGTACAATCTAAAACCAAACTCTGTATTTAGTGTTCAAAAAATTCTGTCACTTTTTTATAACATCCATTTGAACTTCACACCAGGAATTACCTGTTACAATAGTCTTTAGCTTCTTAATATCTTCTTAGACTAGAGAAGTAGAATTATAGGAGTATAAATGTAAACTATAAGATTATAAATGTCTAAGAAATAGTGGGGGGTAATTAGTAGAGCAACATTATACTTGAATAAAATTACTACCAGTTAAGAATCCCAACAAATTCAAAAGGCTGTTGGGTATGTTCAAAGCATTTGTCTAGTAATACCATGGTGATTAAGGAAGTTCATTTTACGTAGCTTAACAGAAGTAGATTAATCTATTGTATCAGGCTATCTAAGACAGATTTAAAAGGTCAAAAAATGTATTTGCTAGGTGGTTAATTTGCGAGAAGCTGAACGAAAACTACAGTTACAGAATAAAGAAATTAAAATGAAGATTCTGGAACAGGATAATATGGTTCGTGAGTTGGAATCTGCACTAGAACATCTGAAATTGCAGTGTGACCGGAGACTGACCCTCCAGCAAAAGGAACATGAGCAAAAAATGCAGTTGCTGTTAAATCATTTCCAAGGTACCTGCTCTGTTGTCAGTTCTGTATGTAGGAGGGGATTTGGGAAGGAAGATAGAACAGCATTTGATCACTTAAAAGTCCACATGTCAAGAAGTTGCTACCTATACATGTTTTTTGCTTTCCATGTTTGGTTAGCACATGTTGGGATAGCTGCCTTTGATGTAGGACTTTTCACGCTTGAGATGCCACCACTTGTGCTTGTCCCCAGTGCCACACAAAAGAACTGATATGATCCTGTTCGTTTGTTGTTGGTCTAGTTTTTACATAGAAATGTGGGATGACTTCTGGCTTTATGATGTACAGTTGAAAAGTGTCTATCTCCTAAGGATATAGTAATTGATATTTAAATTAATTTCCCTTCATAAAATTGAAGTCATAGGCTCTGTCAGATTTGTAGTTACATTTCTCATTATTTTTTCAGTTGATTATAACTTTTATGCATTAAGGTTATATCTTAGGTCAAAATTAGTCTGCCATTGATGGACACACACTGTTACAGTGCACAGTAGTTCAACCATCAACTCTGGTGTGGAAAGAGCTGTCCTAGCAGTCAGTCCTCACATTACCTGGACATATGGCTGGTACACAAACAGTGCTGTGGCAACAAAATCACCACCAGGCGATACTGGTAATGCTTTAATCCAGGCTGTTTAGCTGCTTAGTCTTGATTCTTATGCATTTATGGCTGGAAATGAGTTAAAAGGGATCCGGAAGAAGCAATCTGAGGAAGCAGAAAATTGGAAATTATTATGAATTTAAGTGCTGTGGCAATTTGCTTCTAAGTTAACTCTATAACCAGTTAATTGGCATCCAGTTGCCTGATGATAGGATTTTCTTGCCAGGATCCATACATCATATCATTCAAATGTGCTCTGCTTACCTTACTTTAGTTCCATCTTAAGGATCTAAAGAGATTCTTTTTTTTATCCTTACCCGAGAACATTTTTATATTCATCTTCAGATAAAGCAAGAGGGAGAGAGGGAGAAAGAGAGAGAGAGAAACACTGATGCAAGAGAGACACATCGACTGGCTGCCACCCACACAATCCCAACCGGGGTCAGGGACAAACCGCAACCAAGGTATGTGCCCTTAGTGGGAACCGAACCTGGGTCTCTCTGAACTGCGGGCCGATGCTCTAACCGCTAAGCAAAACCGGCCAGGACCTAAAGTGATATTTTAATAGAATTTTTAATGTACAAAGTGGGGCAAAAGTAGGTTTACAGTTGTTTGTATGGAAAATAATACAATAATAAATAAGAATAAATAATAAATGTATTTTGTGTGTTCACACCTCTAAACCTACTTTTGCCCTGCCCTGTAAAGTCTAAGTTTATACTACAATAATACAACTTAAAGGTTCTAATTAATATTTTTGAATATCTAAACTTGTCCCCATTGGTTTATGTTCTAAAACCAGCAAAACCCAGGAACCTTCAGAAAATACAGACTTTCAGATGTATTCTTTCCTGTTGGTAAATCTATAAAATGGCCTTACTGGTTTGTAATTTTCTTTTAATATAACTGGATGTTTATAAAATATGATCGAAATATATTTGTATATTTACAGGGTGGGACAAAAGTAGGTTTACAGTTGTTCATATGGAAAATAATACAATAATTAATAAATAATACAAGCATAAACTGTTTCACATACAACTGTAAACCTATATTTGCCCCACCCTATTATGCTATTCCCCTTTCTTTTGTGGTGTTTTCCTTTGTCATTTAATCTTTCTAGCTTCTTTGAGAGGGGTGTGTGTGTGTGTGTGTGTGTGTGTATGTGTGTGTTTTGGTTGTATATTTTCTGGGCCGATAAACCTTACGCGTGTGACTTTTCATATACCCACTGTTTCTGATATAAACTTTAAGATATTGTTGCATCTGATGGGCAAAGTTCTATATGTAAACTTCTTATAGAAAAAAACCTTCTGTTGTTCTAAGGATAAATCTAGTTAGTGGCTATTCAGAAAGTACTTATGAATCATTAAATTATGGTATGGGGTAAGGTAGAGAAGGTAACTAAGGCATCAATCCTACTTCGAAAAATTTTACAGGCAGAAGAATCCAAATTGTAGATGAAAACAAATCCATTCACTTAACAGATACACTGTAGCATACATCTGACCCTTTAAATATGAAAATACATAATTTTCTATAATTTATTTTAAGATGATTTAAAATGTAAATTTCTGTTTTATAGAGCAAGATGGGGAAGGCATTATGGAAACTTTAAAAACATATGAAGATAAAATCCAACAGCTGGAAAAAGATCTTTATTTTTATAAGAAAACCAGCAGAGATCTTAAGAAGAAACTTAAGGAACTGTTGGGGGAAGCAATTCGGAGGCAATTGGTACCATCTGAACGTAAGACATTTTAGTGCTACTTGTCATGCTAACACTTTTTCTAGCATTTGGTGAAGGCGGTCTGATTTGTAGTTTAGCTTTTCCCAATTGATTTGATTATTTAGGATTACATATTTAACTTCTGTTTGACTCTGTAAATAAAAATAGTTGGCTAGTCTGTGTATAAGACAGAAAGAACCATAGGAAAAGTGAATGAATGAATAAATGTATGTGTGAAGGAAACTACACATGATTACCTATCATGTGCCATAGGCTTCTGTATTCCCTAACTTAAAATAACCCTATAATCTAAGATAACTGTTATTTTCCTATTTTATAGTAAATTAAGCCTTCTGATTATCACTCAAAAAATGTAAAATAAATAGAGAATAATAAAAGTAAAGGTAAAATAATATATACATTTCTAAGATCAGTCAGGTCTTCTTCATATCATGACCTCTGGAAACTTAAAAATATAATAAAACCTGACCTGGCCAGTTTGGCTCAGTGGTTAGTGTCAGCCCTCAGGTCAATGAGTCTTGGGTTTGATTCTGGTCAAGGGCACATACCATGGTTGCAGCTTGTCCCCGGCCCTGGTTGGGGTCGTGTGGGAGGCAACCAATTGATGTGTGTCTCTCACATCAATATTTCTCTCTCTCTTTTTCTTGCTCCCTCATTCCCTTTTCACTCTATCTGAAGATAAATAGAAAAATATCCTCAAATGAGGATTAAAAGAAAAAAAAAAAATATATATATATATACAATAAAACTCATTGTTGAGACAAAAGATGTTTTCTTGTCTAATTATATGCAGAGATGTAGAAGTAGCACCTTCCTATATGAAATGTTAAAACCTGACACAATACTTTGCAAAAGTAAAAAGTGCAATTAAAATATACCCCCTTTAAGCCTGCCAATTACAGAGGAATCAGTATTTCTAAAAGATTATATTCAACATTTTATAAAAGAATTAGCCTTCCTTTAGAGAAAATATTCTTCTAATACTTTAAGTATGGCTTATGAAAATTTGACTTTATAGCGTTTTAGAACATACCTGTTTTGTACCCATAGAGTAAACTTCTTAAAGATGGGTACAACAAAAGAGCAGTGAAAAATTATATGTATGCATAATGAAAAGTTATGTGTTGAGCCCTGGCCAGTGTGTCTCAGTTGGTTGGGTGTTGTTCAGTGCACTGAAATGTTGCCAGTTTGATTCCCGGTCAGGTACATGCCTGGATTGCGGGCTTGATCCCCAGTAGGGGGTATGCAAGAGGCAGCTGATGAATGTTACGCTCTTACATTGATGTTTCTCTTTCTCTCCTTCTCCTTTCCTCTCTCTCCCTAAAAAAATAAAAGTTATATGTTGACTATGTAATGCAAGCAGAATTAACATAATTTTAAAACTCAGTAATATTTTAGAAAGGTAGTTCTAATGCTACTGTATATTTAGCATATTTATGATTTACACATATTTTCACAAGTAGTTCCATTTATTTATTTATTTTTTATTTTTTTAATTCTCACCCGAGGACATTTTTCCATTTTTTTGTTCAGGTAGAGTGGGAGGGAGAGAGAGGAAGAGAGAGAGAGAGAGAGAGAAACATCAACATGAAAGGGACACATTGAGTGGCTGCCACCCGCAAGACCAACCAGGGCCAGGGACAAACTGCAACCGAGGTACGAGCCCTTAGCGGGAACCGAACCTGGGTCTCTCTGGACCACAAGCCGACACTCTAACCGCTGAGCCAAACCAGCCAGGGCACAAGTAATTCCATTTAACACCCAAATTCAACTTAGGCCAGTGTCTGCTAAGCCCATTTAAAAAGATTTATTTGTTTATTTATTTATATTTATTTATTTTAGAGAGAGAGGAAGGCAGAGGGAGGGAGAGAAACATTGATGTGAGAGAGAAATATTGATCGGTTGCCTTCCACATGCACCCTTACCAGAGATTGAACCCGCAAGCTGGGTATGTGCCCTGACTGGGAATTGAACCTCAGACCCTTCAGTGCAGGGGACATTGCTCCAAATAACTAAGCCACACCAACCAGGGATAATCCCATTTTTCTTTAATCCTCACCCGAGGATATTTTTCTGTTTATCTTCAGATAGAATGGGAGAGAGAGAGAAGGAGAGAATGGGGAAGAGAGAGAAACATCGATGTGAGAGGGACACATTGACTGGTTGCCTCCTGCATGACCCTGACCAGGGCTGAGGACCAACCGCAACTGAGGTACGTGCCCTTGACCGGAATCAAACCCTTGACTCATTGGTCCGTGGGCTGATGCTCTACCGCTGAGCCAAACTGGCCAGGGTGCTAACACCATTTTTAGATGAAGGAATTTTAACTTACATAGGTGAAGTGACTCGTGAACAGAATAGTAATAAGAATTATGGTCTTTGGTCCTTCATCTTCTGACTCCTGGTCCAGTATCCTAGGATAAAAGTTGTCTAAGGATAGAGAAGTGATACAAACATACAAATTCAGTCAAAGAGACTAAACTTTCTGATTTTCAATGTAGTAATGCAGAGGTACTTACTAATATAATTAAAACATTTAGCCCTGGCCAGTTTGGCTCAGCGGTTAGTGTATAAGTTTAAAAAACCTAGTTCCTCATTCTGCTCTTTAAGGAAACAAACACAAAAACCTCTACGAAAACTAAATCTTGGAGATGTGTAACGTGATAATTATTATACCCGTCTGATCAATTTTCTTGGGAGGGCTAGTCTTGTTAATAATGTTGAAGATATTATTTCAACTACTGTACTATTCTACCTTGAAACATCTTACTTTTATTTTTTACTATAAAAAGTGATAGTTACTATAGAAAAATTAGAAAATACAGGGAAAAAAATCACCCATAATTCTGCCCAGAACTATAACTTTTAGTATAATTCTTGTATTTTTCTCATGCTTTAAAAAAATATAGTTGGAATCATATTGGGGATATAGCTTGTATGATATCCTATCTCAAAATGTTACTCTAATATAATCACATTAAACAAGATTTGTATGAATTATAAAATATAGCAATGTAAAGATATTAATTTTTTCTTTATTGATTTTTAGAGAGAGAGGAAGGGAGAGGGAGAGAGAGAGAGAAACTGTGATGGGAGAGGACATCTATCGGCTGCCTCCTGCATGTCCCCCACTGGGAATTGGGCTCACAACCCGAGCATGTGCCCTGACCGGGAATCGAACTGGTGACCTCCTGGTGCATGGGTCAGTGCTCAGCCACTGAGCCACACTGGCCAGGTCAATTTCAATATATTAAATTCTGAGTTTCCTAAAAAGTACTATATTCTTACTAATCGGTATCCTAATTAATATGTAACTGTCTTGGTATTCAGTTCATTGGTTTTTGATAGTAGTCTTTTCATTGTCTGCGTACCAGGCTTGTATTTATCTTCTTTAAATATTTTTATCATTTTCAAATGTATAAAAATTAATCTTTTAACCAAAATAGTGTGGTCACTTCTTGGTCATGCCTCTTTATAGTGCATGTGTTTTCTAGCTTATTTTGTGAGGATAAAGTCAGTTTATATGGACACACAGTCTGTGCACTTGTTTATTTAAATTTCTATTCTTGTATCAATTTAAATCACTATAAAACTTTGTGTGAGGATACTAGAGTCAGAAGGTCTGGGTTGGAATCCTAACTTATTTTACTAGCAGTGTGACCTTAGGTGAATTAATCTTTCTCTAATTTGTTTCCTAATGGAAAATTCTGGAAGAGGGAAACTTTCTATTGTGAAAAATCCAAATGGGCTTGGGAGTGGGCTTCTCCAGTGAGCCTGTCTGTCTGTGCTCTTCCACATATGCCTCTGTGACCTGGGCTGCTGGATTTTTTTTTTAAATTAATTAATTAATTTATTTATTTATTTTGTGGTACATGCCCCTAGCAGGAACCAAACCCAGGACTCTCTGATCCGCAGGCCAACGTTCAACCGCTGAGCCAAACTGGCCAGGGCGCTGCTGGATTTTTTTAAAGCTTCCTATTGACTCTAATGTGAAACAAACCCTGGGAGCCACTGTCTGTGGTCAGCTTTGTGAGGATCTGCTAGTTCTACGTAAGGATCTATATCATTTGCTAGTTCAGGGTTTTTTGTTTTTTGAGAGAAATTTAAAAACTAGAATATAAATTATGTTTTAAACCAGGAGCCACAAACTAACATGCCTGCAGGAGCTCGGGAGGCCAAAGTGAGCAGAAGAGACTACAGTCGTTGTCTAAGTGGGGAGGGGCAGCTCTGCTCCAATTGCTATTCAGAAATTGTCAGTTCTCTTTTTTTCTAGAAATGTCGGAATTCTGTGTTTTTATATGAAACTTTCCAATTTTTAAATTTGGGGTCATGTATTATTTTATAGGCTAAGTAAAATCTGTCTGTGGGCCAGATTTGGCTTGGGAGTTGCCATTGTGCAACTTCTGTTTTTATACTTGGTATTCATAGGACTAGAAGTGTACTAATCATGTGTCAACATATGTTAAAGTTGGCATTTTTTATTATATGAGGTGTATATGGACTTCCCTTAAGCAAGTTTTTGTCTTTGTTATTAGATGATTCTATGATTTGAGGACCTCAGGCTTTGTTCTAGCAAGATGTCCTCCACTGAGGGGCTATACTCCTGTCTCTATTTTGATAGTAGGATCCCAGGGTATATTCAGAGAGCAGAACCCTCTTATCATGCTAGGAGTGCTAACCAGGACTAGCTTTTCACACATATAATGCCAAGTCTCAGAAGAGTTGCTGGAGATATGGGGCAGAGACAAAATTCTCCAATGCTGGCTTCACTTAGCCAGGATTTGGAATGTGATCACCAGTGGCAGTCCTGATGGAGGGCAGCTATGGAAGGGCATCAGAGAGGCCGAATGCACTCCTGTGTTTCCAGAGAGTACCAAAAATACTAGCAGACTATTTCTCAACTTTGTTCCAAGAATGAAAAGTTCTCAGTTATTCACATGCATGATGCCTCGATGTAAAATCAGAATAATTCATATTCACACTTCTATTTGTCTAAGAATTCATTTAACAACAACAAAAACGGAAACAATTTATATTGAGTTATAATAATGTGATTAGTATACCTGAAACCTATATAATTTTATTAATCAGTGTCAGCCCAATAAACTCAACAAAAGAAAAAAAAAAATGTAATTTTGGCCCTGGCTGGTTTGGCTCAGCGGTTGGAGCATCGGCCTGCGGTACAGAGAGACCCGGGTTCAGTTCCTGGTAAGGGCACGTACCTCGGTTGCAGTTTGTCCTCGGCCCTGGTTGGTTGTGCAGGTGGCAGCCACTCGATGTGTCCCTTTCACGTCGATGTTTCTCTCTCTCTCTCCCTCTCTCCCCCTCCCGCTCTGTCTGAACAAAAAATGGAAAAATGTTCTCGGGTGAGGATAAAAAAAAAAAAGTAATTTTGTTAAAATATCATGATAAAAATACCTGCTTTTGAGGAAATCTCTAAATGTTTTTGCTTTTTGGATTATTTTTAGATCATGATGCTGGAGATGGAATCCTGAACTCAGAAGAAGCAAGAATGGTTTCAGAAGAATTAAAATGGGCATCTAGAACTGAAAGCATGAAATTAAGTGGAAGGGAAAGAGAATTAGACAGTTTGGCAAGCAGCTCAAGAACACAACCAAATCCTCCTAAGCTCTGGGAAGACAGCCCAGAATTACCTCCAATTTATAGCTCTTTAGCACCCACTAGTGGGCATTTGTTAAGTGATGAGGATAAAACAGAAATAGATGAAAAGCAGTTTACAAAACTTCACAATCAACCATCACCCCAAATTCAGCCAATGGGAAATGTGGGACAGCTTCATGGTGTCATGCCTGTAAAGTTGTGTCGCAAAGAGTTACGTCAAATTTCTGCCTTGGAACTATCATTACGACGCTCCAGTCTTGGAGTTGGGGTTGGATCTATGACTGCTGATTCCATTGAAGTAGCTAGGAAACCAAGTGACTTAAAAACTTAGGTAGTTACCAATAGAACTTTTAATTTGCTTTTCCATAATAACCAAATACACATTTTTCTAATACTATCAAGTAATGAAACATTTAAATATTTCCACTTATAAATTTGTCTAAAATTATTTTCCAGGCATATTTGAAGAACAATACTAAGAGTAGAATAATAAACTATAATATCCTTCAAATGTATATTATTATAAAATATAAAAGTACATTATTATGTATGTTATGCAGTAATTATAAGTTTTTTATTGTTATTTTCAAATACAAGTATATTTGTGTTATTTTAAAAGATCCAGTTAAATATTGCTGATGTCAGAGGGAGAGTCACCTACTGCATATGTATTGGCACAGCTGAAAATCTGTGCCAAAAAGCGGTCTGTGGGTCAAGGCATCTGGCTTGATTTCTGGATTAAGGTTAATTTATGGTCCTCAGAGCCTACAGAGATTGAGTGATCAGTCTTGATTTTTTTTAACCTGTTAACCAGAGAATAACCGGGGAACTCCCTTTTCACTGTATGCAACGTTTGACATATTTATACGTCCTGCTCGGTTAACAGGTTAAACACTGTCTCTGTTCTTCTTCTGGAATTGTTTTTAGAATGTTACATTATTGATTTGCTAATAATACAGAATATAAGTTTTCATTTCTCACCTGCCTGTCTATTCAATATATCTCTATGCTAATAAAAATGGAAGAAATGGGTGCAGTTCTGTGGAACACGGAGATAATTATAGAATAACAGTAAAACATTCTAATATTTCAAGCAAAAACTATCTGGTCACATGGAGTGCACCTGTAAAGCTTGAAGTCTGGCCAGAGGATCTTCAGCTAATAATATGATGGGCTTAATCCGAGGTTTTTCTCTACAACCTGCTTAGTCAGGCTTTTGCACACAGACAGGCCAGACTACATTGGGGCTGTAAATATGTAAATGAAAATTTTTCTTCAACATTTTTTTGGTCTAAACCTTATTATATAAGTTTCATTTGGAATTAAGAACTAAACATTGATTTACCCAACATAATACGTTTGTATTTTTGTACTATATTTTTCAGTCACAGAAAATATCTCCTTATGGTGACCAGAGAGATATTTTGTTACTTTTTTTTAGGTATGTTGTTATTACTTTTCCAGATTCTTACTTGTCAATAAAGTTGTTTCTTTAATTAATGTTTGGGTGGGACAGTAGCAAAACCATCCTTACTTCCAGGTGCCTACTCAATTAGTCATCCACTTCCTTGCTGACTCTACTTTTTCTTATCAGATCTCACTAATTTTTTTTGTCCTTTTCTCTGTTGTTGTTCACTCTGACCATCTTACCTAAGACCCAAACTGTCACCCTGTGCTCAAAGACTTAATGGTTCCTTTTTTTTAAAATTTTCTAGCTCCTAAGGGTTAAGGTTCCTTGGTCCCACAGCTAAAAACCAGTTTCTATAAGAAAAGAAAACCAAACCAAAACACACCTCTAAATTGGTGAATGTTTCTGTATCTTTTAAGCATGGTACTAAAATTCATTTAAATTATGGGTTAAATAGATTTCTATGAACTTAGCTGGGAACTGACCCACAGTTTATTAGGTCAGCCCTATGAGAAACTGCTTCAAACAATGAATTTACAAACTACCTTGGAAATTTTATTTTTAACACACTATTTGAAATCAGACTCTGGTTATAAGTGAGTCTCCTCTTTATGCCTTTGGTTTGTATGATATATATTTTATGTATATCCTACATAATGTGTATATAAATAAATGATGGCAAAAGGCCAGTGCCTTAACAAAGCACAGCAATTATATATTTATTAATAAATACATATTTATTAATGAAGGTCCCAATTGTAAATAATTTAAAAATAATTCATGTAAGAATGTATTCTGATGCTGGAATCCTGCTTGCCCAAGAAAGTGACACATATTTGTTTTACCTGTGGAAATATAAACACATTATCTGAAAGCCAACTGACAAGACAAGAAAATTTATATCCAACCAACAGTGATTAGATTTGATAATACAAATGTTAACTGACTTCTAAAAATAGCAGAGGTACAGTTTTTTCCTTCTAGTTAAACATATATCCTGTGATAGAGTTCATATAAATATACAAGCACACACACATAAATAATGTCCTGAATAATATATTCTGGAAGTGAACCTCTTGTCATTCTAGTTTAGTCACAAAGGAAAGAAAAATTAAGGCATCTGCTCAAGGTAAGTAAAATTAATTTTTTATATATACTACTAATAAATTTTACTTTCTATTTCACACGTTTCCTTTAGTCTAAACATTTTATCATTGTGTTTGCCTTTTTGCATGTATATAAAATGTTTATAGTTTTCTTATTTTTGTTTCTTACGGGCTTTTCTCCCCACTTATGCCAGAGCCTTTGAAAGAAAACATGTTTGTGTCTGAGAAGTACTGTTCCTTCTCTAACTCCAGAGTGTTGTAGGTGACATTGTTGGAGAATTCTGTAAGGATGGGTAGTAAGAATATCAACGAAAGTACTTTTATGCTTTATTTTACTTATTTTTTTAATCCTCACCTGAGGACATTTTTGCATTTATCTTTCAGATAATGGGGGAGGGAAAGAGGGAGGAAGAGAGAGAGAAACATTGATGCGAGAGAGACACATCAAGTGGCTGCCACCCACATGACCCCAACCGGGTCCGGGGACAAACTACAACCGAGGTATGTGCCCTTAGTGAGAACCGAACCTGGGAGACTCTGGTCCATGGGCCAATGCTCTAACCAACCGCTGAGCAAAACCGGCCAGGGCAGTACTTTTATGCTTTAATGTTTATTTACTTTTGCTAATTTTTTTTTTATTGTTCTTTTTCTTGGGGGGGCCCACAATTCAAATGTTTATTTTCTTTTGCTAATGTTTTCTTTTGTTGTTCTTTTTTTTTTTTTTTCTTTGGTCCCACAATTCTTCATATCTTCATGAACTCAGGGTCTAAGGAGTCAGCTAAAACACACATGGTCTTCAATAATGTGGACTTGATTGCCAATAGTAATTGGCTAGTTTGTATTAGTTCAGGTCAATAAAGTGATAAATCCATATTTAAGAATGGTGTCTTGTATGAAAAAAATACAGGTCTTACATTAAGTCTTAGAATGAATTGATAATGAGTCAAATCCTTAGTGGTTCTATAGTCAGCACAAATTCTTATGCATTAAATACAAGTGTGACATATTTCGCTCTTTCAATTATTTTTTTTAGGCACATACTTGTGGCTTTTTAAACCACCAGATTATCAATATCTGAATGTTTAAATATCTATAATATCTGTAAGTTCATGTCCACAACTCCTCTCTGAACTTCACTGGAATTTATTTTTTTATTTTTTATTTATTTTTTTATCCTCACCCGAGGACATTTTTCCATTTTTTGTTCAGATAGAGCGGGAGGGAGGGAGAGGAAGAGAGAGAGAGAGAGAAACATCGATGTGAAGGGACACATCGAGTGGCTGCCACCCGCACGACCAACCAGGGCCAGGGACAAACTGCAACCGAGGTACATGCCCTTAGCGGGAACCAAACCCGGGTCTCTCCGTACCGCAGGCCGACGCTCTAACCGCTGAGCCAAACCGGCCGGGGCCTTCACTGGAATTTTTAAAAAATATTCATTATGGCCCAGGCCGGTTTGGCTCAGCAATTAAGAGTGTCAGCCCGCAGACCAACTGGTCCCGGGTTAATTCCAGTCAAGGGCACATACCTGGGTTGCAGGTTCCATCCCTGGCCCTGGTCAGGGTAATGAAGGAAGCAACGAATTGATGCAAGACACATCAATGTTTCTCTCTCCCCACCATCTCCTCTATCTAAAAATATCAATGGAAAAATATCCTCAGGTAAGGATTAACAAAAAAACAAAACAAACAAAAATTAATTATGTATATTTTACATTTAAAGTTGTTACAGCCCTGCCTCGCCGGTGTGGCTCAGTGGTTGAACGTTGACCTGTGCACCAAGAGGTTGCCAGTTCAATTCCTGGTCAGGACACATGCCCAGGTTGTGGGCCCAATCCCTGGTAGGAGGCATATAGGAGGCAGCCGATCGATGTTCTCTCTCATTGATGTTTCCATCTCTCTCTCTCTCTAAAATCAATAAAGAAAAAAAATTAAAAATAAAATAGTTATTACAGTCCTGGTCGGGTAGTTCAGTTGGTTAGAGCATCATCCCAATTTGCCAAGGTTGTGGGTTCAATCCCTAGTCAAGGCATGTGAATCAACCAATGAAGGTATAAATAAGTGGAACAAGTTGATGTTTCTCTCTCTAAATAAAAATTAATAAAATTATTACAGGCTGCGGGTTGCTTTTGCTAGTACTGATAACACATTCTTCTACATTTATATTATATTATAAAAAATTGAAAATAAAGGTGGGAATAACATCCTTCTACAATAAATATCTCAAAATGCATTGGGTATGTAGTATTTTTTAGTTCATATGGGCAATAGTGTTCAAAGGGTGGGGTAGTGGAAGACTGCCCAATGGGGAGAAATATTTTATCACTATCATTGTTTACCTTGATCCCGACACATTTTTTTTTAATTCTCACCTAAGGACATCCTTCCATTTATCATCAGATAGAGTGGGAGAGAGGGGGAAAGAAACATCGATGAGAGAGACACACTGACCATTCGCCTTTTCCATGACCTGACCAGGGCCAGCGACAAACCACAGCCGAGGTATGTGCCCTAGACTGGAATCAAGTCTGAGACTCATGGGTCCACTGGTCGTCGCTCTAACCACTGAGAAAACTGTCAAAAGCAGATGACTTTTCATAAGTTTTATTGTTTTAAAATTCTCTACAAACAATGCACCCCTTATTGCCTGTACCAGGAGCAACTGCTTCTGTTCCTTGCTCTTGAAATGCAGTGCATACATGACACCACATGTTGGAATGGTGTTTGATTTTCATAATGTCTTTCATGTTGACCCCAAGAATACCCCAACATGGAAGTAATTAGAACAAGATAAATTATAGAAAGCTCAGAAAAACTTGATGTTATAATATTGGCTTTTGATGTTCTTCATAGT